TAAAATTACAAGCTAACTAGTCTGATCCCAGGCAGACATTCAGCAGGCAGCCTCAAAGCACCAGCCATCACTCATCAGTGACATTCATATCGAAACTGTACATTCAATTTTGCATTGTCCATGAGATCTCCAAGAATCAAACTTTGGTTCTCTTCTGCTTCAATATATTTCTGCATGCATATGCACTTTGCACTGCATGATGCATGTGCTCCGATTTTGGTGAAGTAATCATCTTGACTCACTTACCATGGAACCATTTCTCAGACACGTTGAAGCAGATCAAGAATTCATCTTGTCCATATATAATTACCCTCTCCGATCGTAAATATTTAACATTTAGCTTGCTGCGTCAGAGAAAATCCGTAATTTTTACCTCCATCTGTATTTTGTCCAATTTCCTCTCAAATCCTATTAAAATAATAGGGATTGGGCTCAAGAAAGAACATATGCAAGCAACATTGGCTTAAGGCCCCGTCCTTTTCGAAGTTTGGCCGATTAATTAGCTGGTTGGCTTGCCCAATTAAGTATATATGGAAAAGTCTATACGTACGAAACTTTTTGTTACGAAACATGTACGAAGAGCACATGCAGTCTGTTTTTTCGGCTTGTATGCTCTATAATTATCTTGCAAGTACCTAAGCCCGTAACAAATACAGGCCCACGTATGGTGCAAACGAAAAAGCAAGAGTTATATCTCTACTTGTCTGTAAAACCATGTGCTATGAAAATCTATACACAGGCTGCATATGATTAAACTATAAACAAGTAAATCGTGTTCAAATCATATTGAGGAATTACTACTGCATGCTCATATCACTGTCGACTACCACACAACTAATATATATTGTCCTTTGCAGCATCGAAGTGATCAGCTAGCATATCAAACAAATACATCGGTGCATCAATGTATGATTTATTATTGGCAAATTTTGCTCCAGGACACTGCAATTTTGTGGTTTTAGCTGTAGGACACTGCCCGAACCCACTTTTGAGGAAAAACACTCCATAAATATGGTAATTTGTCAATGGACACCGCACCGATTAAAATAATATTTTCCGGTTAAAGAGGAGAGAGAAATAACGTGAAAGTTCTAAAATACCCTTGGGCCCACATGTCATATCTTCCATCTCTCTATCCTCACCTCCCACACTTCCATGGCCGATGCCGTGGCGGTGGCCGGGTCAGTGGAGATGCCGGTGAATCCGCTCCCGGCGCTCCACTCCGCGGACACTGGTGCTGCCGCAGCGTCCACGACGGCGCCCTGCAGCAGCGTGACGAGCAGCGGCAGCCGCGTGTCGTCGGTGAGCAGCGGTCCTCCATGCCCATCCTCCTCCGCCGCCAGCCCGCCACCACACGTCGTCAGGCGGCCGTCGTCGCCGGCGCCGCGGCGGCGTTTGATGACGGCGCCCTGCAGCAGCGCGTAGTTGGCGAGTAGCGGCAGCCACGTGTCGTCGGCGAGCAGCGGTCCTCCATGCGCATCCTCCTCCGCCGCCACCACACGTCGTCAGGAGGCCGTCGTCGCCGGCGCTGCCGCAGAGTCGATGACGGCGCCCTGCAGCAGCGCGTAGTCGGCGAGCAGCGGCAGCCGCGTGTCGTCGGCGAGCAGCAGTCCTCCATGCTCATCTTCCGTCTCCGCCGCCACGCATCGTCAGGCAGCCGTCGTCGTCGGACGAGCTGCCGGCGGCGGCAGCAGACGTGACGGTGTGCAAGGTGGAGGGCGGCCAGCTCATGTTGCCGTCGACCTTCCCGTACTTCATACTCGTCGCGCTGGAGGCTGGGGGACTCTTCCGCGGACTCCTGCTGCTGCTGCTGTACAGCCTCTACCCCGTGCTGCTCCTGCTCGGCCATGGCCGGGCGACCAAGCTCATGGTCATGGTGAGCTTTGCCGACGTCAGGAAGGAGGATGGGTCATCGTCGTTCAGGGTGGGCAGCGCGGTGATGCCCAAGCTGTTCCTGGAAGACGTCAGCGCCAAGGTCCTCGATCGAGGCGGCGGCGCAGCGGGGATAGAGAGAAGAGATGGAAGATATGACATATGGGCCCAAGGGTATTTTAGAACTTTCACGCCATTTCTCTCTACTCTTCAACCGAAAATTATTATTTTAATCAGCACGATGTCTATTGCTAAATTACCATGTTTATAGAGTGTTTTCCCCCAAAAGTGAGTTCGGGCAGTGTCCTACTGCTAAAACCACAAAATTACAGTATCCTGTAGCAAAATTTGCCTTTATTATTAGTGTGGGCATGGTAGATCGTACCTACTATGCAGGAAGCAACCCAATACTGCTCGTATTGTGGCCAGGGTTTACGATTCCAACGAAATCCGGTCGGATTTCGCGAAATTTCTATATTCCGACGAGGCTCGAAAGTAGAAACCATATGAAATTTCGAGGAGTTTCATCCAAATTCAAATTTGAATTGATAAAAAAAAGAAAAAAATAAATAAAATCTTATAAATACTATGATATTCATAGAACATATTGGGATATAAATATTCTAAAAAAATGATGTATTGTGTGTATTTACTAAAACTTACATCAGGAAAGAAAAGAATAAAGAACTAAAAAAAGGAAAACACTTACATGGGCCGAATTGCATGTACTAGGCCCAGTTAGTAGTTGGTCCAAATTACAGGTTACAGATCGAAATTTCGATGATTTCGATTGGAATTTCGCCAAAACTGACCGGTTTTCGAGAACTTGTCAACAAACTCAGGGAATTTGTATTCAAATTTTGGTTTATGAAATTTGTTCGGAATTTACCGGTTTTCCACCGGATTTCGCAAAATTCCGAATTCCGCCAGTGCCCGAAATGGAAGGGCCTGTCGGAATCGTAAACCCTGATTGTGGCGGCAGCTGAGGCAGTGAGGCCTAGGCATATAGCCGCTACCTAGCTCATATGCTTGATTGAATTGAATTTTTTTAGAACTGATTGAATTTATTCTATCCTTACTTTCTGCATCTCCACTCAAACGAAGCTCTGAAGTCTGAATGAGTAGCATGGTATTGAACCTGTCAATTTGATATGGGCTTTTCTTATTGAATAATCTAGAGTGTTGTAGGCCTGTGATCTTGTGTGGGCTTCTAGTGTTCTAGCCATGGAAATCACGTAAGCAGGTAGTTTTCGTACGAATTTCGTACAGATTTCTTCGTGTGTATAGCACGGTTCTAAACAAAACTAACCTAAGTTGCTAGGTTCGGTGAGGGACAAGACTAACTAAGCAACTAAGTTATGTTTTGTAATCCTAGGGTGAAAGTGGCTCAAGTATATCACTAGGAAAGTAAATCACACTTCCTAAGTCTAGTTTAGCAATCCTAGGGTGAAATGATCTCTAGTATGTATCTAGAAATGTAAATTGCACAAATGTAAATGCAACAAGTAAATGAGACAAGGAGACAAGAGATTTTTCACCGAGGTTCGAAAACTCGCCGGTTTCCTACTCCTCGTTGAGGCGAGCCCAACTCCACCGCTCAACCACGAAGCCACCGCACGCCCCCTTCGTCAAGGGGTGGGCAAGGCGGGAGCCGGCCCACGGAGAGGACTACCCAAGCCTCGATCACTAGGGTAGTTATTCCTTCACTCCGAAGGTGGTGAACTCCAAACCACTCACAAACCGGCGCCGGGCCTCCTCCACAATCTTCTCGGAGAGGTCACTGGGCAACTCCTCCACAAGCCGTCTAGGAGGCGGCAACCTCCAAGAGTAACAAGCAATGACCTGGCGTGGAGATGATCAATCAAATGCCACACTAGCTCTACAATGGAAGCAAATGCACTTGACTCTTGGCTAGAACAATCTCAACCACTACAATGGATGAACACTAAGCTCAAAGGTGTGTGAGAGAGGTGCAAAGGGTGTACGCAATTGAATTGGGTGTGAAAAGAGTCCCCTTGCTGCTGGAGGGGGAGTATTTATACTCCCACCAACCAAAACTAGCCGTTGGGGGCGAAATCCCCCAACTCAGTGCTCTGCCGGTCTGACTGGAGGTATGTGGCCAGTCAGACCGTGCTACTCTACAACGGCTAGTTTTCTAGCCATTGTAGGGCTATCATTGGGCCCCACAGCCGTGGCCGGTCAGACCGGCCTCGGCTTGGTCAGACCGCCATCAGCTCGGTCCGACCGAATACGGCTCCGGCGGCTCGGGATCGGCCATCCCAGAGCATGCCATCCCGGCCATATGGCCGGCGGGTCAGACCGGCCCGCACCTGCCGGTCAGACCGGCCTTGAGGCGGCGGTCAGACCGGCTTTGTCCCTGCGGTTAGACCGGCTGCCCTAGCCGGTCAGACCGACACTAAGGCCACAGTCAGACCGGCACTTGTCAGGCCGAACACAGTGTAAACAGTAGCAAGTATGTGTTGCGAGATATGAGCATAAGTTTAAATGCAAATGACCTAATGTGGCAATTAAAATAATCTCTTTGCTAGGTCATTACCCCTCTTAATAGTACGGCAAAGCTATAAATAAACTAGCACAATTTTGATCGCCCAACGCCTCGATCAATTTAAAATGAAAACACTAGTTTACCGTCTTCTTTTCCTTTTGCTTTGCGCCGTCAATTTTAATCCATCAATGATCATCCATGTGCACATAAATAAGTGAATCTAACTCAAACAAATAGCTCAAACACAACGGTTAGTCCACAATTAGTGCTTGTCATTAATTACCAAAATTAACACCGGGGGCCTAGATGCTTCATCAGCTCCTCATTCTTTCTTTGTGCTGTTTGAGTGAGTTTAAGTAATTGATTGGTAGCCAGCTTCTAACTTCTAGCTTATTTTCTCAATTATACAATTTTCTCAGAATCTGAACTATTTAAAAAACTTCTAATAAAAAAAACTGCAGCTTACAAAAAACTCCTTCAAACATAAATGAATTGTAACTTCCCCCTCCCCTTCTCTCCATCCCCAAAAAAAGAAAAATCCTCCAGCATCGGAGCCCTCTTTTCTCCTCGATCCGGACCGTGCAACCCTGATCGTACGGCTCCAAGAAAAAAAAAAACCCAGGTGCGGTGCGGCTCACGTGGTCGAACCGACCGAGCCGCGCCGCCGGCACGGCACGGCCGCACCTCCACCGACCGCGGCGAGACGACGCGTCGCGACCTCCGCCTCCGCCTCCACCCGCCGCTGCTCTGCCTACTCGCCGGCCACCTCCTCACGCCGGCTCGGCTCGTCGGCCCCCCGTCTCGGGGTCGCCTGCTCTGCCCGGTGGCTACCCGCCGCCTCATCGCCTCGGCGTCGGACAACCCCAATCGGGGTGATTCCGCCCCCCATCCGATATCCTGCGGTAATCGAGCTCAAGTTTCCCCCCAATTCGACGGCGGGAGGCTGCAACCAGAGCTCAGCTCTTCCGTGCTTGGATTGGTCATTATTTTTTTTTTCTGCTGTTGGGATGATCTGCAGGGGCTCGTTGCTGGGCGCTTCTCTCTGGCGAATTGCGAAGGCTCGGCATCTGCAGCTGGTTGATCAGTAGCGATGTCGATGCAGATGGATGTGGATGGCGAGTCGAGTGGAGCTCGAGCTCTCGGAGACATGGGCGATCTGGTATGGCAATATGGCATCCCTTCCCCCTTTGCACAGTGTGTAGTTCTTGTTGCTTCGTTAGGTGCTAAACCTTAGGGTTTGCTGCTGGTATTGTCAATTTGAGTTGAGGGGAGCAACTAAACATGGCCGGGTGAATTTGGTTGGGGATGGATACCAGTGCATTAGAAGCTTAAAATGTTCTTATGCTACTCATACTACGGTTTGCTCGGAGCAATTCACGAATCGCTATAGTGCTCGTATTATTATTACAGCATGGGCATGTCTCAATTTTGAGTCAATCCCTGTTTGACATTTAATCCAAATTTTAGTTGGAAATGGTCTCTAGTATAAGAGGCCATACTGCTCTCTCCACTAAGAGTTAAGGGAAAGCGAGGGAGGCACTGATAATGGAACTTTGTATTATAATGGCTTTATATTTTCTTGCTCATCCCCTTATCCTTGTGCTACGAGGACTTCTCTTCACCAGCTTTGTTACTCCACTCTGGCAATTCAATGTTGTGAGCTAGTTATGTTGAGGTGGGATGCATTGTTCACCCAAAGAGTAGTAATTGTACTTTGCATAGTAGTTCTATGTTGCTGTGTTCTTGCTTTTGCAGTAGCAATGAACTTTGTACCTTCAGTCCTGATGTAGTTATGTTTTGTGCTTTAACATAGTCCATCCAAACTCACTTGCAGGAAACATATGCATTTGAGAATGAAAGTTGTGGAATTTGTAGAGACATTGTCATTGATAGAGGAGTTCTGGATTGCTGTCAACACTGGTAGGGTTTCATCATGGACCAACAATTATCCAACATATTTTTCACTTCTATAGCATTATTGCATAACTGCTTGTATGCATATTGCATTTGGCTCTTGATGGTCAGCGTTATGCAGCTAGGAACTTCCTTGGTCACAATATGTTACTGGAATGTGAATCAGTACGAGATGTCATTTGTTTATTTGATAGTTTCTTGTTTGTAAACTAAGCATGTCAGGGCATATAGGTTTTGCCATACATTTCTGTATCCCCTAGTTGTCATTACTTGCTTATCTACTTCATTTTTTTTCCCTGCATTTACTTTGTGATGTTTAAGTGCTCTAGTTCCAAATTGGCATTCCGCTCATAACTTTTTTTTATTGTCGAGTTCACGCATTGTATCTTGGTAACTGGACTGCTCATTCTATGTTCTCTGTTTAAAATAATTTGTAGCCATATTAGTACTGATATTGTATTTTTCAGTGATAAATGAAGTTTTTTTAATTCTAACAATGGAGAATTGGATTTCATACACCAGGTTTTGCTATACATGCATTGACAACTGGTCTGCCATCACTAATCGCTGCCCCCTTTGCAAAAGTGAATTTCAGCATATAACATGCACGCCAGTAAGTGAAAATTATCATTGGTGCTGACATTCTTCCATGGAAGAAAATAAGAAATCCTAATATCTGTGCTGACATTCTTTACATGGAAAAGAAATTTAACTTAATTCCTCAAAAGGTAGAACTGCCATGGAATATAATAGTTTATTTGCTATTTATTAAAGGTGTATGATACCACTGGAGCCAATAATGAAGATGAATACTCTTTAACCAGGTAAAGTTGAAAGTTCCTATATTTTAAGTTTGCATGCATACTTTAACATCTGTGAGCTTAACTGTCTTACAGTTTGGCTCCCTGTTTCCTCATTAGGTAGGCTCATGCTTTTCCCTGTTTTGGTCTTTCATCTCATAATGATACATGTTCAGCATTGTCATAATTACAAATTTAGTTACGGAATCACAATTCCATTAAAAATTATTTTGAGTCACCTGACCATGTTAATTATTGTGCATAACTATAATCAATGACATCATTTGCCTGTGACTTCGTGCCATACCATTATTGTGAAGTTCTTCTATGCTTCATAATCTTTCTTCAATTTATTTTCAAGTAATGCACATAGATATAAAATTAATGCCATATTCACACTCTCCAATTTGTATTTCTTATTGTGCAGTGGTGATGATGATTGGTTGCAAGGGGAAAGCAACACTCTTTCCTTCCCATCATACTATATTGATGCAGAAGTAATAATACTCAATAGGCTCTTCATTTTCTTTTAAAAATCATACTTATCTATCTCATCAAGATGATTTTGTTACTTGCTGTTTCCCCCCATCCTCCAGGCAGTAGTTTGTTTGGATGATGGTGATTGCAAGATTCGGAGTGGACTTGTGTCGGTGGAGGATGATTCAACTTTTGATACATCAATTGCTTGTGACTCTTGTGATTTATGGTACTTATAGCTATATTATTATCCAATTTAAATGTGTCCACTATTAGTTGAGACTTTATGACCATATTTGTTTTCTGATTACTAATCCTTAAGCCAGGTATCATGCTCTATGTGTGGGTTTTAATCCGGAAATGGCAACAGAAGATTCATGGTTGTGCCCAAGGTAATTCCATTTTTCTTACGTTTCATAACCCCTCACCACTAGTTATCAAGTATTCTTCGTTTGCTCTTCTTTTGTAATAATTAATATATCAATCCTATTTTATAGATGCGTATCTACTGAAGTGAAACACAAGGCAGATGCTATCTTGAAACAAAATTTCAGTGGGGACTGTTCAACTGGTTCTGATAGGACAACTATTGATGCATCATTTTCTGGGAGGGTGTCCGTATCTGTTGCTGATGAAGGTGAAACTGCCCTTGTTGTCTCAATGGTTGGTGTACATTCTGAAATTCGGGATGGTTTGAAGACTGAACAGAAAGGGTTGAATTCCAATTCATATCCAAGCTATTCCAAAGATGATCTGTTGAACGAAACTGTTGCAGATGCCAAAATATTGAGGAACTCAGATGGTTTCAGTATATCACACAATAGATACTCTGAAATGAACCTTGTCCACACGGTTTCTTCTGAGCCAACAGAAAGGCCATTGGAATTTTCACCAATACGTGAGTCAGCGCATACGTTATTTAGACCAGAGCAGGGTAACATGTCAAATGTACAGGCTCCATCCTGTTCATTTTCACAAACCAGCAAAGTACCTGAAAATTCAGGAGAGGAGAATGCATTGTTTAGAAACAATGCAAGATCTACTGTCATCGAATCTCCACAACTTTCTTCACCAGGTTTGTTGGTAGTATGCATATTCATGCACAATGTTTGTAAGCCTTATTCATCTAGCTCATCAGAAATTTGCATGCACCTACAGGTGCCTAACTTATTTTTTAACCACCTTATTTGAATGTTTGATCGTACCACCAGTTGTTGATAGGTTGATGTATTTGGATACCGTGGTTTCTGTGCTTACCACATCTATGAAAAGAAATTCCATGTCAACAATTGTTTGTCTTATTCTTTTGCATACCAAGCATCAGCAAGCTGAAAAGTGGCATAATCTTGTTTTTATACAATGCCCATCTTTTTTTTTTCAAACACTACAATGCATTTTTTTAGGACTAGACCCTATAGACATGGCACTGTACAGCCAACATGAATTATTTCTCTTTTATCAATGCAGCTGGCAATGTGGCAAGATCGAACGACATAGATATGATTGATGCAGGTGAGGTTCAGCAGATGAGAAGTGCTCCTGTCGGGCAGTTGACATCCATGTGAGTATCTTTTAAATTGTAATGCTGACTTTCGAGAACCGATTGTCCCACAAGATTTACATAGATTGAACAAAACATAGTGTGTTGCATATCTACTTTTCCAGTTTCATTTTAGTAATTTTCCCCTTATTCGTTTTTTTTTCAGGCATGATGGAGAATCTATCAGTGACATGGAAGAAGTTAAATACAAGGAATCAGGTGATGAAATTGGTCATCCTGCAAAGAGAGCAAGATCAGAAGTGCCAGAACAGGAAATTAATATGATTGGGAATTCAGGTATTTCTCCAACAGATGATCGTACTACTTCTAGTGCAGCAAAAGCTACAATTGGTGATACGCCAGAATTTCTCAGATCGGATAAATCTGTTCCTGATATAATGAGCATAGTTGAAGGAGAAGACTACAGCAGAGATCCTGGTAGAGAGTTGGCAAGGCCTGTAGGAAGAAGAGCAGGAGATAAGCCTGGCCTGAGAGTGAAAAAGATTTTCCGGAAGGAAGAAGGAAAAAAATCCACAGCTGTAGTTCAAAAGCTACAACAAGAGATCAGGGAAGTAGTTAGGGACACTGGCACTACAATACTTGAGAAGGAGAACGCTTTTGATGAAAAACTTTTGACTGCATTCCGCGCGGCAATTGGAAAGCCCGCAGATGAACCAGCGGGAAGAGCTAATCTTTCACTCATAAAATCAAGGAGGGCATTGCTTCAAAAGGGCAAGATACGTGAGAATCTGACCAAAAAGTTGTATGGATCATCCGCTGGAAGGAGACGAAGTGCATGGCACCGTGATTGGGAAGTCGAATTCTGGAAACATCGTTGCTCTTCAGGGATAAATCCTGAAAAGATCGAGACACTGCAGTCAGTACTTCAGTTACTCAAGAAATCCTCAGAAATGGATAAAGAAATTGCTCAAGATAAGAAGGGAGTGAATACTGACTCCATTTTGTCCAGGGTATATTTGGCTGATGCATCAGTTGTTCCCAGGAAGGATGATGTAAAACCTTTATCTGCCGTTGCAGGATGCCCACCTAACAATAGCAAGGCACCTAACAAACCCACACCAGGGACTGAAACAACCAAAATCAGTTCACCCAACAGCACTGGGAAAGTGTTGAGTTCTTCAATCATTAGTAAAGAAGCATCTAGCCGAAGAGAGAACAAAAATAGTCAGGCAGCACCTAATCAGCAGAACCAATCTGCTGGTGATATCAAGCATGACAAAAGAAAATGGGCTCTTGAGGTCCTGGCAAGAAAAAATGCCATTTCTATTACAAGCAAAGACAAATCTGAAGTTGCTGATGATCTCAAGGGAAACTACCCTCTCTTAGTATGTGTCTTCTTATCCTAAAAGATATTTCAAAAGAAGTTCATTGTAAATTTCTCTAGTATCATATTTTGTTTCTATTCATCTAAAACAGCTGTTTGTTTTTTTCAGGCACAACTTCCTGTCGATATGAGACCACAGCTCACAACTGGCCGTCACAATAAAGTTCCCCTTTCAGTTAGACAGGTGATCATTCATGGAGGCCTTTATTATTCATTTGCACCTTTTTAGTCAAGTCAATATTGAAGGCTATTTTGTTTACATAAGATGAATTTAGATTATAAATTGCACGTATGTATTTTCGTCCAATAGCCAAGTAATCAACTGAAGGTATTTATGTCAGGCACAACTTTACCGCATTGTGGAGCATTATCTACAGAAAGCAAATTTGTCTGTCATTCGCAGATGTGCAGATACTGAATTAGCCATTGCTGATGCTGTCAATGTAGAAAAGGATATTTCCGAAAGGTCTAGTAGCAAATCAGTTTATGTGAATCTTTGCTCTCAAGCTACTCGTCAACCTGCCAAAGGAAAATCGGAGAATGATGCTTCAGACCTAATTGAAAAAAGTGAATCAGAGAACGGACCATTACCACAGCAAGTTCAAACTGAAAATACTGACATTTGTAACATTGATACTGAAGAATCTTTAAATAGAACAGGCCACTCTGATCTTCGTGCAAGTCCCAGACAAACTATAAAGGGTGAAACAGGTGGAGATCTGGTGCCAGAGAAAACTGTTGGCTTCAGCAACGTGGAAGAAGCACTCAAAATGGCAGGCCTCTTGGACTCCCCTCCTAACAGTCCTGAGAGAAAGAACACCATAATTGAAGGTAATTCTGATACACTTTGTAGGATTTTCTAGGTTGCCTATCTTTTTTTAGGAATAGTACTCTTGTGTTGTTGATTAGCTGCATGCCTGTGTTGGGTTGCGGTATTTTCTGGTGGGCTGCTAGATCGTGTTGATACTTATTTTCTTCTTGATGCGAATATATGCAACCCTCCTGCGTGTTCTCTAAAACAACCCAGATCACTTTCCAATCTTTCCAAATTTTCGTCACATAAATATTTAAGTGCAAAGGATATTTTGTTTGTTAATGCAGGAGGGTGCATTGTTGATACGGATTCTGAACCCAGCAAAAAATTGCAGTCAACTTCTGATTCAATTGTGAGGGATATATCATCGCACAAAGATGCTGATGATTCCTCCATGCTAATTGATCTTCATGATGAAAATGGTCAAAACCTCCATACTGTAACATCATCTCAGCAATCAAAACATACTGGTGATGAGCATCAGAAATTGATACTCGGAGAGGAATCTACGGATGTAACAGCAAATAAAATTGTCTCAGTGAACTTGGATGAAGCTGGATGTAGTGCGGAACACGGAAACTCAAATGGGTCAAATAAAGAAATTCCAGCCGACACGAATATGCCTGATGAAGGTGCTGGGCATGTGGGGGGTGCAAAAGAGGTGAAAGTGCCAGCAAGTGATTTGTGTAACCATTCTTGTCAGGCAAATAGCTCTCCGACAGAAGGTAAAAAGGACAGCAAGATACCGATCTTGGACTCCACCGAAGATAGATCCTGCAGTAACAATGCAGAGTTGAACAATAGACTTCCGAACAGAAACAAATTGTCCACCGATCCAGCCCAAAGTGGGGATGATTCAAAGAAGTCAGCACGGGATCCAGATAATCACAAACCAGATTCCTCTGGTTCTATACATAAGAAGGTAAAACAACTTGTATGTTACACTACATTTTTTGTGCTTCGCTAACTTTAGATCCCTAGATTCAGAATACTAGTTAGTGTTGCATGGTAGTCCCTCTGTTTCATATTATAAACTTTTTTTAAAAAACTGCTTTGTTTGACATTTCAATGTATGCAGGTTGAAATGTTCGTGAAAGAGAACATCAGACCACTTTGCAAGAGTGGTGTAATTACCGTCGAGCAGTATAGGTGGGCCGTTGCGAAAACAACAGACAAGGTCATGAAATACCATTCTGACGCTAAAAATGCAAACTTTCTGATCAAGGAGGGCGACAAGGTGAAAAAGCTCGCCCTGCAGTATGTTGAGGCAGCTCAGCAAAAGGTTACATGACACAGCCGAATCCGTACAAATGTAGATCGTGGTAGTTGCCAAAATGACAATTCAGCAATACATAAACTCTGCAGGGGCATGGCCAAATGTAATTCGTCTTCCTATTTTTTTTTTACAAAAAAAAAAAAAGTCGACTGGTTGTTCGAGATTGCCATTGCGACTTGCAAGCAGCGACTGCATCACGGAATCAAAGGTAAAAAAAAAAAGATTGGAAGGGGCAAAAACCCAAAAAATAGTTTAGACCATATGAAATCTCAAAATTGTTAGGAAGAATTTCGATAAATGTAGATTTACACGTGCTTCAGACTAAATTAAGAAGTGTGCAGCTCGTATTTAGTTTATCGTACTGAGCAACCGAAGATAATGCACCGGAAGACAACGTATGATCAACATCTGACAATTCCAGGTCGTTTGACGTGGAGAATTTCTCCACAAATGGCACGTGAATGAAACGCAAGAGCCATTTCAATGAGCTGCTCGCCTCCTTTACAAGAGCTCTCACATACAATACATTAGTTTTAGGCTCTAAACTTTCTTGGCTTTCTGCTTATTAACTGTCCCCTGTTGGATGGTACAGTGGTCAGTAAAACCGAGATTAGTAATCGATTGTGATTTAGATAGAGATCATAAGGCTTTTCACGACGCAACCTCGTATGAAACTGAAATATATTTTGACGCGCCCTAGCCTTAGCAAAGTGTGTTTTGTAACAACATACATGAGGAAGCTATGAAAAACTGTCTAAAAGGAATAGCTTATTAAACATGTCACTGTCAGGTTCAACAAGGCATGAGCTGAGACGAGAATCTTTTGAAAGATTAAATTTTGCTATGATTTACCCCTTTCTATCAAAATACATTTTGAGACATTGCGAAGATGGATATACTCCCTCTATTTCAAAATGTTTGACACCGTTGACTTTTTAGTACGTGTTTGACCATTCATCTTATTCAAAAAATTTAAGTAATTATTTATTCTTTTCATATCATTTGATTCATTGTTAAATATACTTTCATGTACACATATAGTTTTATATATTTCACAAATTTTTTTTAATAAGACGAACGGTTAAACATGTGCTAAAAAGTCAATGGTGTCAAACATTTTGAAACGGAGGAGTATATACTAAAACAGAGACACAATCCAGCACTATACACGAGGACTTGGAAGGCATACAAGCTATACTCTAGTAGTATGATCCCAGGAAGACAATAAATTCTACAGCCAGCCTCAAGCACTAGAATTGAAATTCATCAGTGACATACAAACCAAAACTGCACATTCAAATCTACATTGTCCATGAGATCTCCAATTAAGAATCAAAAACTTTGGTTCTCCTGCTGGTATTGCTGCATGCATGCACTTGCACGCGTCAAACTGAATGTTTCTTGTTGTAAATGCATAAAAAGATGGAACAATCGTCCATAGAAAACCGTCATCAGTAAGCCCAGATGGAAGAATATGGTCTGCTATACTTTCCTGGCAACGCATGAAGGATTTGGCTACAGACGAATAGAAGTGGAGTAAGAAGCCAGAAGAATGTTAAGAGAATCAAATATCACTTTGAAGTTGTTTGCTCAAACTTTTCAGCATCTAACGACCGCAAAACTGTCTAGATAAATATTGTTTCAAAAAAAAAAAGGAAAGAACTTTTGCCTGTGGCTCAGCAGTGGGGCATTACCTCAATATTTACTGGAGCAACAACCGTCTAATAACTGGTGTTTCGTAGAGACCATTTGTTCACTGAACCAGCGTGATACTGACCCAATTCCCTGGACATGTTTTGATTCGTCCAACCAGGAAAATATTTCTTCATGGTCCGCATACCTGTTAATAAAGACATATTATTATGATACACCTTTTTAGATAAACAAAATAAGTGTCAACAGCATATTGTAGGATGGAAGCGATATATAAAATTAACCATATAATTCCCATCACGAAAGGAGTGAAAGCACTCATCCATGAGTATGGTACTAGATAAAATTCCATAACTAGAGTAAAAAATGGTGCAGGAAATGAAAGGAACATTTAAGATAGCTATAGAGAGCTAAACTCGTACAGCAAACAACGATTGACTTAGAAAAGAACATGATCCTTTCATTTAATTACTTAAAAGTTACAAGGGAGGAGCAGGTATTGATGGAAACGGTACACATTTGTGTGAAGCTTGCAGTTCATTACTTCCTCCGTTTCACAATGTAAGACTTTCTAGCATTGCCACATTCATTTAGATGTTAATGAATCTAGACATATGTATGTGTTTAGATTCATTAACATCTATATGTATGTGGGCAATGCTAGAAAGTCTTACATTGTGAAACGGAGGGAGTAGCTCAGAATCTAACGTGTCTTTTGGGGCTACCAAATATGGTATATTGAAAAAATAGGTAATTTTGAATAGTGAATCTCTAAGTTGTCACTATATAGTACTGAAATTCAAAACATAGACCACGTAAAGGTATTCAGGAGGATCAATGGATCCAACAGTACTATTTTCATTCAGGCTTTTGATGATGTAATTATATTTTTTCTATTTCGCATTGAGATTGTTGCCTCGAAAAGACTTGGGATACTATCCCATTCTTTTATGAGGAAAAAAACATACACTACTAAAAAAAAGCTCATAGAGATCGGCGCTATAGGTGTCGGAACAGCTATTGGTGCCGGTTCTATTTTGGTGATAGGTGCCGGTTGCTAGTATTGGTGCTGACCAATAGGTGTCAGTCCGAAAACCGGCACCTATAGCCGGTTGGGAACCGGCACAAATGGCCCTTTTTGTACTAGTGATAGTTTCCTTGATGGGATATTGAGCAACTTTATCGATGCTATATTTGCATGTGCAACTTATTGTTCAGAGTTTTTGTAAAAGAAATGATTATTCAGAGTAAAAAGAGGAATTCATTGTTTTATCAACTAGGAAGAAAGCCCGCGCAGATGCACGGGGAATTTATATTTTTATCAAATATACTGAAAAATCATATATCATCATATTAACTACAAGAACCATATATTACCTCATAACCTAACTGTAAAAGAAGGAAATATTGATACCGTAAAATAGACCATAGATTTTGATATACTAAATGATAATGTCTATCATATTGAAAAAAAAAATCACTTTGTTTTAGTTATATGTAAACGTACCTATCATCATCCTTTACAAACATAATATGAGTTTTGATTTTTTTTATGTTTCTTTTATTATACATCTAATTCACCTATTCATGTTCATGGGTAAACAAAGGAATACTCTATATTGTCAAAATAATTTGTACTAATTGTTAACACAATTTATATGAGAACGACATAATTAAAAAGGATAAAATATGGTTCCATAAGAAATTTTCGATTGTACGGGCCCATTCATTTCCACTACAAAGAGTGGATAAAGTTTTGGATATCCGTGGCACGCTTTTCAAACTGTTAAACGGTGCGTTTCGTGAGTTCTATATGAAAGTTGTTCTAAAATACCAGATTAATCCATTTTCAAGTTTGTAATAATTAAAACTTAATTAATCATACATTATTACCACCTCGTTTTGCGTGAAACACTTAATATTTATCTTTATCTTTATCTTCAGGAGATTCAAATACCACCTATGTATGTATGTATGTAATTCTTTTTTTTTTGCAAATGGTAGTCTCTCGTGTCGTATGTACGTACTTTGTTATGTTTTTTGGTCAAATATTTTTCTCTCATATGAGGTTGGGTGTGCATATGTGTATTCATAGGGTGGGTGTGCACATGTTTATATGACTGTCTATGATTGTCTTTTACATCGTTAGTAAAAAAATATTTTCAATAAAATTGGCGAGGGTAGCATGAAGCGGCGCCATGGCAGCGTGGCTTCTTTGTCAACCTTGCAAAGAGTAGTCGCTACATATATACATAATTTAAGAAAAACCTTAGGGCTGCAAAGAAAGAAATGGAAAACTAATAGAAGGCGGTGGACCATATATACTCTCTTTTTTTTTTTTTTGTTTTTGACATCTCTTGTGTACTTGTACATATTTGCTGGTTTTTAGGAGTGAGGGATTATCTAAATAAATATAATTTAATGGCTAAAAATAATGGATTCATCAGTTTAAGTCCACATCGATGGCTAGATTTTTTTTTCCCTTATATTTTTTTGTTAAATTTTCTCCTATTTATTAGAGCATCAGATGGCATCTTACAAGTGTTTGTAGGAGTATAGGAATGCTATTACTCATACTCACAATCTAATTGTAGTCAACTATTATTTATTGTGATTTTGTGGCATTCTCAACTTACCTATCATTTTTTTTGTTAATGGTTACCCACTTAGTATCATCCTTTTATCTTTGGTGCTTGATGACACATGTGCTTACTGGATGTTAATTAATTATTAGGTGCATGTGCATGGATGTGTCATAAGCAATATAACTTGATGATTGGTAGACAGTGGTTTGTATATAGAACTTATAACATAGGATTTAGCGGGGACATATGATTGATATATTATACTCCTTCCGTTTCTAAATATTTGACGCCGTTGACTTTTTTAAGTATGTTTGACCGTTCGTTTTATTCAAAAAATTTAAGTAATTATTAATTCTTTTCCTATCATTTGATTCATTGTTAAATATACTTATATGTATACATATAGTTTTACATATTTCACAGAAGTTTTTGAATAAGACAAACGGTCAAACATGTACTAAAAAGTCAATGGTGTCAAATATTTAGAAATGGAGTAAGTACTATTCTTGATTCAAAAAGTATATTATATATACTACATATTGTGTTTTAGTACATAAGTAATAAATTCAAGGTTAAGTTGTAAAGTTCTTACCAGATTGGCTACGTTTACTGAATTGCTAAATGGTGTGTATTTTACAAAATAATTTTTATTATAGATTTTTCTAAAAAAATAAATCCATTTTCAAGTTTGTACTAATATTTAATACTCGATTAACCTTGTGCTAATGACCTGTGTCTTTTTGTGTGCCCTAGATAAACTAAGTCAATGAGCTAGATCGAACGAAGCCTAAGTAGGAGAAAATGGATATTGACATGATGTCAAATGAATATATTTGATCTTTAATTTTCTTAAAATATATGAATAGAGTAAACACATAGTACACGGAAATATATTTATGATAAATTTAGTAACAATAGGGAGTGAGTAATTTTTTGAAAATTCTGTACAGAGTTAAATTTGTTTTTATTTTGGAAAATGTAAGTCTAATTTAACTATAACAAAATCTATACTTTTAATTTACTTATATTTTTATGGATGTTTCAATGACATGCGCCTAATTTGAATACAACTCGAAATAGCATATATTTTTACAACTTAAAGCATAGTTAATATGAGTTTAAATTATTAGTTTGGTTTTCCATCTAATCTAAATGAGAAGAAAAAAATAAGGATGTGGAACCCGGCTTGTGTACATATGTACATATTTTTTCTTGAGGAATACCTATATACGTACTGTACGTAGGTACATACTTTTTCTTATGGAGGAATACCTACGGACCTATGTGCATGCATATTGGTCGGTAGTGGCATTACGAATTTACGACATGGGCCTTTTTACATATGAATTTAATTGGTAATTTATAAGATAGATGTAATGGTTGAAAATAATGTGTCCACCAGATTAAATGAGAACCGATGGTTGGATGTTTTGCTTTTTCCCTACTATTTATATAATTTATTAGAGCGCTACATGGTGGTCAAGAAGTGTTTATAGGGTATTATGTGGTGGCTGAAGAGTGTTAGTAGGAAGTTTGTCGCTTCAGGTACACACGTACCTCCTCTTCTTATTACTTTTGATCCCTTTTTCTCTTTATGAAAATATTTGCAACAATAATTTTTAAAGAAACACAACTTCTAAATTATATATTTATTTGTAACAATATATTTTAAATCGTCATAATTTTTAAGTTTTAAAATCATGCGTTCATTCTTTTTTATCTATTTGGACCATTGTGTTATTTATGATAAAAATCACAATTAGTATGTTATGATGTATGTTGTCTACTTCACTTGTAAAATGCATATTCTTCTAAGTTCTATTTACTATCCTTTGCATGTCATTCAAACATATGTGAAAAATTATAAAAAGAAAGTGACTATATATTATTTCATCATGTACCACTTCACTGGCATGCATAAATAAAATAGAAAGTGACTATATATATTGTTAGATCGACCTTTTAAAGCCTCACCGATAATAAGAGTGCCCGTGCAGCTGAAAACATATATTTTAAAATCATATTTTTTTTATTATACATTTTTTTGACCATATTTGTGGAGTAATAAATTTTGTTTTCCTAGTATAGAAAATCCTATTTTAAAAAATCATCTATGTTTTCTACTGACGTACGTATATTTTAGGGTGTTATAGCTTTCTTTTTCTTCATATACGTATGCATTTTTTTCAAGTTAACAATATCATTTTAATATTTTTTTATCATACGTATATACGTTTTTTTTTTCAAATGAAGAGTACCTAAAGGTTTTGTTTTTCCTATCGTTGTAAGTAAGTAAGATTTTCCGGTATAAACGGTTTCACTCATATGCACTGCATATCAAGAGGAAGTAAATAGATCTAATCTAATGGTCTAAAACAGCAGGTTCACCAATTTAAATAAAAATCGACAGTGAGATTATAAAATACCACTTGGCAACCTAGGAGCGTTTGTAGGAGTGCCACGTGACGGTTTAGAAGAGTTTGTAGGAAGATTAATGGACTTTTAGTATATAATAGATATATAGATATATTTCCCAACTTTAATTTAGTAAAGAGCTCGAGATGACACAGGTGAGACCAACATGTAATAATTTTGTTGGCTTCAAAATATAGGTCAATATGAGTTTATATCGATTCGATTAAACAAATACAATGGTTCATATAGATAATGAATTGAATATATATTAAGCGAGTTAAAAAATGTATTGCTTATTAATTATGCATGTATAGATGGCCACGCAGAGATGCAATACTGCACGCGGACGTCCAGCCGCATCCGTACGTTCATTGTGCGCTCGAATAAATATTTGTGGCTGATCGGAAGGTTTGGTTTTCTTTGAGATATGTGTAAACACGGACGTATATATACCTACGTGGGACCGTAGGCAGAAGAAGAGGCGGGGCCATAGTTTTCTGTTAGCTCCAATATCAATCTAATCTAACGGTTCAGGATATAGGACCCACCAATTTAAATGAAAATCAAGGGTTAGATGTTTCTTTGCCACGTGGCAGTTTAGGAGCGTTTGTAGAGTGCCACGTGACGATATAGGAGTGTTTGTACGAAGTTTAATGGACTTTTAGTATATAATAGATAGATAGATAAAGATAGATAGATATATCCCCAAGGAAATAAACTTACAATAATCTCCTCTTAGTCTCTTCACTCTCCATAGCATTCCTTTCCCATGATGAAGAGCGAGCTTCCTGTTATATTTATGTAGTTGTAGTCTGTGTCTGTCATCAGTAAATGGCCACCGTCAATAAATACACGAAGTAACAGCAGTGGGACTTAAAAATATTTGTTCTTAAAGCAGATAACAGTGTAAGCTTAAGTGATGAACAAAAGAAAGCTAAATCAGGGACATCGCATCATACTCTTAACAGGACAAGAAGACGGCAGTAGGTGAAAAGGGTAACAAAGTAAGAGCAGTAAATTGACTATGACATCAAGCAAGCACGCTTCAAAGCAAGCAAGAATGTGAGTGTGGAGGGTGGAGATACCTATTCTCACTCTGAGGATGTGGGCAATCTTGCTTCTTTCAGGGCTTCCATGTTTTCTAAATTTCTTCTTCAACTCTGAACCACATTCCGAAATATCCAGCTCCAACAGAGAGGTGGGAAAATCTGGAAGTGAACCGAGGAGTTGGCCAACACCAGATAGCGTCAATTTCTGGAGGGAGGTTAGGTCTCGCATGCTGGGTTGGAGAGATTCTAAGGACTTGACTTTGCGTATGTGTAGGGATTTGAGAGATGCACTGTTCTGCAGCAGCCAACGATCAGGTAAGCTCTTCATCTGTGACGCATCTTCAATTTCTAAGTGTTCAGTGTGGCAGAGACTCTTGAGAGGCTCAACAAGCAGCAGGGATGGAAGATCAATTGTAAGAGAGCTGATACGCAGGGAACTTCTTGAATCCACCAGATGCTCTTCTTCACCACCAGATACATATGGATTTACGGATGAACCAAATTTTGTGAGTTTAGCACAACGTCTGATTGTTAATTCAGAGAGGGATGGAAGGGATTCAAGCCCACCCAAGGATGACAGATTCCCACATTTCTGTATGATGATGATCTGCAGCGAGGTGAAATTCCTACTGAAAACTTCTGAGGGGGGGAGGGATACCAGGTTCGAGCAGTTATTCAGATTCAATACGGAGAGATTGATGAGTTGTTGCTCTTGCAGTGACACAACCACTATACGCTCATAGTCACCACATGATCTGATATATAGATCTTTAAGTGATGGTGGCAGGAACATTTCCCCAGCACCTCTCGGTGCCCTCAATTCGGGACAGCCTCCTATTCTTAGAGATTTGAGCATATTCATTGCTTCAAATGATATTGATGCAGACTCCAGATGTATACAGTTGTCGATGTGCAGGTTTCTTAGAGCTACCATGTGCTGCTTCTGCTCAAGAAAGCTGTCATCCAGGGAACATAAGCATGGGCAACTGCTGATAGCAACCTCCTGCAATTGGGCTAAAATTGTTTCATTGCTCTCGCTGCATAGCTTGCCCATCCTTGGAAGTTTAGTCCAATTAACATTTTTTATTTTAAATGACATCAGACTAGGAGGTAGAAGAGGTAATTCCTGCAGTTTGGGGCATTGTTTTATTTGCAGATATAGAAGCGATGATGGCAGGAACTTTTCTCCAGTACCTCTCAGTGCCCTCAATTTCGGACAGCGTCTGATATATAGATATCTGAGCATGATCATTGCATCAAATGGTATCGATGCAGACTCCAGATGTATACAGTTGTTGATGTGCAGGTTTCTTAGAGCTACCATGTGCTGCTTCTGCTCAAGAAAGCTGTCTTCCAGGGAACTTAAGCATGGACAATCATTGATAACAACCTCCTGCAATTGGGCTAAAATTGTTTCATTGCTCTTGCTGCATAGCTTGCCCATCCTTGGAAGTTTAGTCCAATTAACTTCTATTATTTGAAATGATACCAGACTAGGAGGTAGAAGAGGTAATTCCTGCAGCTCTGGGCATTGTTCTATTTCCAGACTAAGAAGATTTGGAGGTAGCAACAGCTCCATGGAACTACTACTAGACATATGAGAATGCCGGCCAATCTGCTGTAGCTTTGGAAGATTTCTCAACAAAAGATATCTGAGCAGTGTTAGCTCTCCAAGTGACGGTAGTTGTTCCCAGTTTATACAACTTTCTAATTTGATTGATACCAGTTTTCTGACAGAAAGGTTCTCAATCCAAAATGGAACGACGCACCCTTCATAGCCACAAATTCTTAGATTCCTGATATTAGTGTGTGGCTCAAGGTGTTGAAGAACCAACTCGTCTACAGTGTCATGTTCACCAGTATGTGGTGACCACTCAAGAGACAGAGAATGGAGATGCTGTTTTTCATTCAGTTTAGCATTGATGGCCTCTTCGTGGTTCTCAATATTCTCAACACCTTGAATATTTAGCTCACGAAGACAATGTAAGTTCTTGATTGAGCTCACTTTGTTGCCCCCACTTTCTTTCACATGGTATATACTCAATCTCCGAATTGATTCAAGTCTGCTTATAGGCAGCATACCAAACAATTTGTACGTATCCTGCCCATAGGCTACATGCCGCAAACGATAAAGGTTCAACATAAATCTCTCTTGTTTTGCTACACACAGCAAGCTCCTACGACAAGGAAATACCGTCGTCGGGCTAGAAATCGAAAGTAGTACCAACAAGTGATAAAGTTTGGCAATATGATAAATCCCTTTTGATGAGATGCCAAATATGTCGATGTAGCGAAGGTGTTTCAACTTTCCAAACTTGCTGGAAAAATCAAATCTTATTCTCAACCTTGAATGAAATAGCCGTAATGATTTTGTGCTTTCAATGATTTTTTGAAGTGTATTCTTTGTATCCTTATCAAGCTTAGATTCAGTAACAATGATGATACTGCGAAGATTCTTAAATTGGGATATTTTCTTGACCACATCGATAGAAAATTGAGGAATGCATAAAATGGATATGTGTCTGACTGTGTCCCGTATATCTTTAAACTTGACAGGACTAGTTATTCTTGCGCATTCACCATAGGATACATTTCTTGCTAATTCATGCATTAAGTCATGCATGACATAGTATTCTTCTTGGTCTAGACCATATCTATATACTCTGGACTTTAGATCATAGTATTCTTCTTGGTCTAGACCATATCTATATACTCTGGACTTTAGATCAAAGAATGACTTTCTAGTTAGGTCAGCCAATATTCGTTCTCCAATATCCTCGAAATTTAGTGTCTCATTTGTGGCCTGCGGGATCAATCCTGAACACATCCACATATGCACAAGATCTTCCTTGCGAAATTTGTGGTCCTCAGGAAATAAGCTACAAAACCTAAAGCAAATCTGTAACTCAGTTGGAAGATGTTGGTAGCTTAATTTGAGAACCTTCATAATGTCAATGTCAGACCCTTTAAAATGTTCCAAGTGTATGTGCAAGAAATTTTCCCAGTATGCAACGCTCATGTTACCTTGCAAATGTCCACAGGTGACCTTAATTACCAAGGGACATCCTCCCAGTTTCCTTGCAATTTGTTCTCCAGTCTTTTTGAAGTGGCTATAGTCCTGCAAATTCAAACTAGAAAATACATGATGATTGAAGAGTTCAATATTTTCGTCTTCTTCCAGTTCTCCTAATATCAAGCAATCTCTTGCAACTCCCATTGCTTTTGCAGCCATGTCTGCCACGGATGCCATACGGGTTGTCAACAGAATTCTGCTCCCATTCTTTCCGGACCGCAGAGGAGCAAACAACTTTTCCCATTCATCTCTTTTCCCTTCTTCCCAAACGTCATCCATGACAAGAAGGAACTTAACAGAGTTTAGTTTCTCTTTAAGTTCTTGCTGTAGTGCTTCCAAATGTTTATTGCTAGGTTCTCCCTTTGTAGCAGATTCCAAAATTTTCCTTGTCACTGAGGTTGCATCAAAACTAGTTGATACAGTAATCCAAATGACCTTGAAATGCTTTACAACCTCATCTTGTTGGCATATGCTCTGAGCCAAAGTAGTCTTCCCCATACCACCATGACCAATTACTGAGAAGATAGGAACATGATTAGCACTAGGCACAATTTCAGACTCTTTAACTGATGTGTCCTTGGTCAACCACTCAAGAATCCTTTTCTTCTCTGATTCTCGGCCAACAAACTTATCTACCGTTAACATGGAACCTGTCTGACGATCATTGCTGCTAGCCAAATGTCCCAGCTTTTGACTGCTAGAGGTGGCTCCATTGATGCATCTCACAACTTCAAGAAATTTTGTGGTACCTGCAGCAGCCTTGTCTAAACCATCCATAGCTTTCTTTAGCCTCTTGAGTGTACCACGATGAGTAAATTGATTCACAGACTTATCCAAAACACGGACATCCTTAATGGATTTAACAACTTTATGCTTCCACTTAGCAAGAGGTGAACCCCAGTCACTAACCTTGTAATCCTTGGCTTCCTCCTCAAGCTCATAGTACTCGAGCTCATCGATGGCGTCCTCGGCTTCCTCGACTGCATCCCTGAGCTTCCAGAACCACTGATCCAGCGCTACGCTGTGTTCCTTGAATCGATCTGGATCGACAACATCAAGAACTGCTTGGATCTGCAGCATCCCTTCCTCTAGCTTGTTCTTCATCTCCTCCATGCTTTTAGCGCTGAGGTAGCCATCAAGGTAGTTTAAGGCCCTGGTGATAATCTCCTTGATGACAGGAGCTGCCACCGATTTCCCAGCAAACACCACTGCAGCAGAAGTAGCCATGGCGGCGTGGAGAATTGCTGGTTGCTAGAGAAAGCTTCTGTTGAAGCTGGAGAAGCAGCTATGTGGATGAATTGTTTTCCTTTTTCAAATGGATTGCGTAAAGTCTCATACTCAATTTGTGGTTGTTGTATCCCTGTAATGCCTATTCATCATTGACGGGCTAGATATTTTGGGTCATGGGTTGTTGAAGCATCGTAATCAGTGATTGTTCTTCTGGCCCGCCAGGCTTGACCATCTTTATCATGAAACTGCCATACAACTTCCAGTAATTTAGATACCATATGTATAGGTCAAGCTGTTCTCATGGTAAGTTCAGTGCAACTACACTCGCTGAACTCAATCAGTAGATGCAAAAGCTTTATGCATTCTACCTGGATTCACAATTGCTTCCCAAATCACAATGATGATGAAACACATTATACCTGGAATCAGAAGCTCCAGCTCGCACAGGCGCACAAACATGCCAGCACAGTGCTTGCTACTCCTCTTGGCCTCCTCATCTGTAAACTGTAATGCCCCAGTTTTCACGATGCATTAATTTTTTTTAATAAAAACCTACTAGTGAATATCTTCTTTTCTAGTGCAATGCTAAAGATTGGTCTCCTTCCTTGGAGTCCTAAAGATTACATCCAAAATTCCTAATTGCACTCACATCATGAAATTGGAATACAACTTCAACTTCAATTTGGTCTTCTAACCTGCCAGGCTTCTCCTTATCTACATCATGAAATTGCAATACAACTTCCAGTAATAAAGATACCATATGTATGGACCAAACTGCTCAACGTCAAGGTTAGGTCAGTGCAACTACACTCGCCGAACTCAATCAGTAGATGCAAAAGCTTTACGCATTATAACTGGAATCTCAATCACTTCTATACATCATACCTGAAATTGCCAACTCGAGCTCGCATGGGCGCACAAACATGCCAGCAACTCCTTTTGTGCCTCTTCTTCTGTAATGCCCCAATTTTCACGAGGCATTAAAAAAATATTTTAATGAAAACCAATTCATGAATATTTGGTTTTCTAGTGTCAGTGCTAAAGATCTCAGTTTGATATCCTTCCTGGGAACCCAAATTTAACTCCTAAAAATTCCAATTCCGAAATTCACAATTGCACTTACCATGGCTTGTTCCCAAGATCGACAGTATATGCTAGTACATTAATTTCTAACAAGATTTTTAGCACAGTAGTATTACCTGACAAGATTTTTTTAAGAGAGAGAGCTACGAAACCAAACTATTGATTACACCCTGACTAATTTGGGTTCTACAATTGAAATAACACAATGAACCCAACCCTAAATCAAAATCACCAGTCGTCAGATATCACCTTTTTCATCCTCACAACTACAAAGGGAGCAACCTCACTGTTAAAATTCTCACTTCGATCAATAGTCCAATTTTTCTTTACTCTTTATATATATTTTTTTGAGGGCTTTGTTTACTCTTTATATTCTTGTGAAGATAAATGGCGTCCTCTGCTTCCTCGATTGCATCCCTAAGCTTCCAGAACCACCGATCCAACATTACGCTGTGGTCCTTGAAGTGATCTGGGTTGACAACATCAAGCACCGCTTGGATGTGCAGCATCCCTTCCCCAAGCTTGTTCTTCATCTCTTCCATGCTTTTAGCGCTGATTTAGCCATCAAGGTAGTTTAAGGCCCTGGTGATAATCTCCCCGATGACAGGAGCTGCCACGGATTTCCCTGCAAACACCACTGCAGCCGAAGTAGCCATGGCAGCGTGGAGAACTGCTGGTTGCTAGGGCTGTTGAAGCTGCAGAAGTAGCTATGAGTGGAGATAATGTAGAGAGAGAGAAAACAAACACAGGTGATGCTTAAACCACTTTCCTCTTTGAAATGGATTGAATAAAGTTTTATACTCAGTTTGTGGTTGTTTTCTTCTGCCGTGTTGTGCTTATTCTTTTAATTGTTGTATAAAAAGGAGTTATAATTGATGTAATCTGTTTTACAGATAAAAACGCTTAGATATAATATGTTATTATCCAACTATCATGTCTCTTCTAACTGTTTCATATTTTCATACATAATAATATCATCATTTGCAACATAGATTAGAACAAAAGTCATTTGCCAAATAGCCAAAAGCTGTTGCACTAAACAAGGTTATCATAATGCAACATAATACGAAACAAAGGCCTTGTTTAGTTCCCAAATTTTTTTTCCCAAAAATATCACATCGAATATTTGGACACATGCATGGAGCATTAAATATGGACGAAAAGATCAACTAATTCCACAGTTTGCATGGAAATCGCGAGACGAATCTTTTGAGCCTAATTAGTCCATGATTAGCCATAAGTGCTACAGTAACCCACATGTGCTAATGACAGATTAATTAGGCTTAATTAATTCGTCTCGCGGTTTCCAGACGAGTTATGAAATTAGTTTTTTCATTCGCGTCCGGAAACTCCTTCCGACATCCGGTTAAACGTCTGATGTGATAACCAAAAATTTTCATTTCGCGAACCACACCCAAAGGCACAAAAGAGAAAAAGGGGGGCAGGAAGCTTCACATCGATTTTCAGTTGTCCCCATCCATCTTGTGGGGACCAAGCAAATGAGACACAGACAAGCGTTTATTTAAGCAGAACCCCATTGGTTGGCCAAGATCTGATTATTACAAGCCATAACAGCCTATTAGCGACAAAAAATAATAATTTATACTTAAGTGTCTTTAGCGACTTAAAACCAACGTTGAAAAAGAAACTACACCAAAAATATCATAAAATCAATCTCTGCAATTCACATGGAAAAGTCACCACGTCACTTTTCTATTGAATTAGTAGTACATACCCCCAGATTACTTGTTCACATGGTCGCTCTCCCAGCTGAGTTCAGTGCTAATCAATTAGTCTCTCAAGTCAAGTTTTATAGTAGGGGTGGTTGCCACATCTAATCTTATGTGACATGTTTAGTTTAGGGGCAATTCATCTAGCATTATAGTACTTGCCCTCATGCGACATCTGCAGCATCATTTCACTTTTGGGTCAAGGGATGTTGAAGCATTGCAATCAGTGAACACATAATTTTTTTTAAAACCAACATTCTTCCTATGCATGATCGAAAACCACGAGAAGAATGCTACAACAAAAAAAAACAATAAAAGAAAAAGGAAACCACGAGGAGAAATCGAGGGAATCCATCCAGGGTCCGGATTTAATTCAACCGATGCATACGGAGAGAGAGCACCTGGTTGTCGCGGATCGGATCGAGGCACGCAGCGGCGGCGTGGATGTCGTCAGCAGCCGTAGCCACGATTGGGGATGGATCCAGTCTTGACTTCTCCCCCTTCGCTAGGTCCGGCGAAGAGTGCGGGGGCATGCGCTAGATCGGACGGGAGCCAGCGGCGGCGGTGGTGGCTGTTGGAGGTTGGGGGCGCAGAGCAGCGGTGGCTCCGGCAATGGCGCACGACGGCGGCGACCATCGCGGCGGCGGCGGTCGCAACTCGGCTAGTGGGCTTAATGAGAAGAGGAGTGTATGACTGACACGTTGGGCCCACGTGTCAGTTGATGCCAATGTAGTTCTACGGAATTGAGGATGAAAATACATGCCGTGTTTAGTTCGCGTGTGCCAAAATTATTTTGAGTATACGAACATATATTTTAATTAAGTATTAAACATACACTAATAATAAAACAAATTATAAATTTCGTATGTAAACTGCTTTACGAATTTATTAAACCTAATTAATCCGTCATTAGCAAATGTTTACTGTAGCATCATATTATCAAATTATGGCGTAATTAGGCTCAAAAGATTTATCTCGCAATTTACATGCAAACTGTGCAATTGGTATTTTCTCGTCCATATTTAATGCTCCATGCATGTTTCCAAACATTTGATGTGACGGAATTTTTGGAAGCGTGAAGGAAACTAAACGCTGTCATAGTACATAACAACCACCTTATCATTTCTACTCCATCCATCCCATAATATAGCAATCTAAGGCCTGGTTTAGTTCCCTAAAATTTTTTCCCACAAATATCACATAGAATCTTTGGACACATGCATGAAACATTAAATATGGATTAAAAAAACTAATTGCACGGTTATGGGGGAAAATCGCGAGACGAATCTTTTGAGCCTAATTAGTCCATGATTAGCCATAAAGTGATACAGTAATCTACATGTGCTAATGACGGATTAATTAGGCTCACAAGATTTGTCTCGCGGTTTCCAAGCGAGTTATGAATTAGTTTTTTCATTCGTGTCCAAAAATTCCTTCTAACATCCGGTCAAACATCCGATGTGACACTAAAAAATTTTCTTTTCGCGAACTAAATAAGGCCTAAAATCGACATTCATTGTACTATAAAATATTTCATCCGATTTTAGGTTGTTATATTGTGGGACGAAAGGAGTAATTGATACATATTTTATCTTGGTTTTTTAAGATGTTGCTCTAAAAATATTAAACAAATTTATTTTTAAACTTATAATAATTAAAACTTTTTAGTTATGTGGTAATAATTTTCTTATTTTAGGTGTGTTAATTTAATCTTTATCAGGTTCGAACGGATAGGTCCATGAATTTGTAAAATAAATTCATTGAAAATCATGTCCAAATCTCGGTTGACCGGTCCGGCAATGTGGCGCTCTACAGTAGTACACAGTATCAGAAAAGAAAATATTTACTGCAGTTTTTCCCTTCTCTTTCTCATTTATTTCCCCTTTTGTCATAAGCACACACATTATATTTTCTTCTACATAAGCAAAAACAAAAAAATGTTGAGGGAGGTTGGGAGACGATCAGAAAGCATCCCCAGCCGTTCATCGCCCATCCGAGGTAGAATTTACTATTTGCCACTCTCTCAAAATAACCAGTGCTCAAATGCCACTCTCCCAAATTTTCATTCTCAAATACCACTCGGGCCCACATGTCAGCCTTACTCATTATCGGGTCCCGCATCACTTTTGTTTGAATGGAGAGTGAGGCTGACATGTGGGCCCGGGTGGCATTTGGGAATGAAAATTTGGGAGAGTGGCATTTGAGCACTGGCATTTTGAGAGAGTGGCAAATAGTAAATTATCCCCCGATCCGACGGCTCACATTCACTCTCACCTCACCTGCCCTCGTTTCTTCCGTCCCCTACACACCTACCCGAGGAAGAGGAGGAGGTGGGGTGGCCATGGCGGCGGCGGAGAAGACGAAGCCCGTTCTTTACAGCGAGTGGATGAGCTCGTGCTCCTACAGGGTCCGGATCGCCCTCAACCTCAAAGGTAACCAGCGAGACCAGTGGCCGCGTCTACTGCTTGCTTCTTGGATGGTGGATTCCGTTCCACGCCCTCGGGGGAGGTGGGGATAATGTGGCCCGGTTTCTTGGTTTGATTGGATTGGGGGAAATTGATGTTGTTATTAGAAGAACTCTTAGGTAGTTTAGAGGATTGGAGGAATGCCTAGGATTGGATGGATTGGGTGCTTCAAACCTGCAACTGCAAGTTACACGTGTGTCTCGGCCAAGGGGGGAAAAGAGAGAAATTCATTTCGTTGATTATTAAAGATTCACTAGCTAGTGGGTTTCAGCACTAGTATTATGTCGACTACTAGCAATATGATGCGGTTCGTGTATAAGTTCTTCAGTCTGACGAGAACTCGCTGTTGTGTTGGCTAGGTAGCTTGTCAGCAATTTACCAGTTGTATATGGACAATTTTTTTTCGACGTGGAGGGATATGTGGATTGCAGTTATTAGATTAGTTCTTTGCAAGCTACGGGATTCAGGAGTTACTGCTGAAACTTGAATGATTTACTCTGTGGTTGTTGTTTTGGAGCTACCAAATAACCTAGTGATCGATTGGAAGTTTGTGGTGGTTGAGGTTGTGCGTTCGTTCAATGCCCCCATTCTCCTTTTAGACGTGCGTAGATAGATCTTCCTGCATTTCCATAATATATGCCTTTTTAATGCTAATTGAACTATTTCTTTGTAATGAAGGTATTGATTATGAGTACAGGGCAGTGACACGGGGTGATCCAGGTCAGTAATATAAATCTTCTATGTCACAATGTTCAGCTCATTGGCTCTCTGAATATGATATGTGATAGCAAGGAAATGGTAACTATTATTTCGCCGGGCTGGCGTGAAGAGCCAGCCGAGATTTATTAAGAGAAAAAGGGAGAATAAGTTGCAAGCTACAGCAAAGAACTACATGCCGGCAAAGCCAGCAACACACTTTTACATGGCTGCCTGCCGCTGCGTCAATCGCGAGACGACACCTCCCGGCAGCGAGCCGGGAATATTATCATAACTATTATCATAACTGATATATAGATTGATAGTTCATTAATGTCAGAAATATATGTTACCTAGTAATATTTCTAAGTGTCTCACTAATTCACCACCTAAAAACTATTTAAAAATTTCAAACAAAATGAAATGTGACACTTTGTATTGTTACTCATGCATTACTTTGACCGTTCTCAATGTTACCATGCTGTAGATTATGGGAAGATCAATCCAATTAAGTATGTGCCAGCATTAGTAGATGGGGATTTCACTATTTCTGATTCTCTAGCAATCATATTGGTATGTTGTGGTTTTTCAGGACATAGTTAATCTTTTTTTTTAATTCATATCTCTAACATTAGTGACTACAAGTCTTGCTTTCTGTTGAGCAGTATCTTGAAGACAAATATCCCCAGCATCCTCTTTTACCTCAAGATCTAAAAAAGAAAGCTCTTAACATGCAGGTAAACATTTTACCAAGAGTTTTGAGGGAACATATTTTTCATGTTATATTTTGCACTGAACATAACGAATATAAAGGGGGTAAAGGACCAATTGTACGATACAATTATGTTTAGAGACTACAAGTGGTTGTTTATTTGTTTTAATATATGCTTTTATCTGTAATCCTGAGCACCATATTTTGTATAAATAATGCATGCTATTTTGTTTGCTGCAGATTGCAAATATCGTGTGTTCAAGCATCCAACCTCTTCAATGCTATGCTGTAATTGTGGGTTGACCAACTGGCTGTTTTGCTGAATTGTATTGTCATCTTTTTCAGTATTAGTGCAATGATTTATGTGCAAATTTATTTGTGCTACACCTATGAAGGGTTTAGCTGATGGCAAAATGAGCGCCAACGAGAGCCTTCAGATAGTTCAGCATTACACTGACAAGGGATTTAGAGGTGTGATTTCTCATACTCTATTATAGATGTTCTCCATCACTTCCTATTGTTTTCATCCTCAAGTACACATTTCTTGACACTGCCTGAATAAAGTGTAATAGTATAACGATGACATTCCTTGTGCATAATATAGTAATATTGTTTGTCTCTTTCGCTATATTTTCTACTCTTGTTGCCTTACTTATTACTCGCTGATTTTTACGCTGGTCCACTCTTACTCTTCACTTGATTTGCATCAGCAATTGAAAAACTTCTGGAAGGATGTCGCAGTAAATATGCTACTGGAGATGAAGTCCAATTGGTATGTGTTTTTAACTGAAGATTTTTTTTTTCTTGATGGACAGTACTTGTTTTGTCTTGGCAATTTATTTCATAAACAGAGTGCATCATTGTAATTAATATTAGGATCACCATTTACATATGTTTTTTCGTCCATACAGTATTAAACTACTCATCACATCTATTCCCATCAAGCTCCTGCTACACTTGATACAGCTAATATCACTGCACTCTTTACTGAAAATTATCGTCTTCGATGCTTAAACCACTGCAATATACACCGGAAGCTATTGCCTACTCTTTTCTGTGTACAGGCGGATGTGTTTCTAGCGCCCCAGATTCACGCAGGAATAACACGTTTCCAAATTGATATGGTAGGGAAATTCTCATATGCTGTCCTTCATTTTAAAATCATTGTCAGTCTTGAGAAAACTTTTTGGACTACCTGCTCAGAAACTAACGATGGCAATTATTTTTTTAATTATCAGTCAAAATATCCAATTCTGGCGAGATTTTACAAGGCCTATATGGAACTTCCAGCATTTCAAGCTGCTGTCCCTGAAAACCAACCAGATGCACCTTCATCCTGATAATTGAAGGGTGCTGCTCCATCAAGATGCCTGCGGTAATCAAGTATATGATTTTTTTTTAGTCATACATGCAGATTAATAGAGCTGCTGGTTTTTCCAGTATCTATAGAAGCACCCCAATTTCAGAAAATCTAAATTACCAATTTCGTTTTTTTTTCTTTTTTCTTTTCTAGTGGAAGTCTGCATTTCTGCAAGTCTCCATGAAGTATACCCACGACATCATGCATTTCAAGCTGCACATCCTCAAAACCAACCAGATGCACCTCTATCCCAATAATCAGGATTCCAAGCGAGCCGTATACATTGATATTCATGTAACTTTTACTTAAAAAATTGGATGAGTAGTCTCCAGTGCCATACATGTAATTTCAGTGTAAAATGTTCAGTGTAAACAAGATAGTGGGACATGAATTACCTGTGACCCACAACATTATCCATCCAGTACTCCAGTACCTAGGGATATGGTATTGTTGTATATGTAATTGATGATGCACTGTCTGAACTTCAGATGCAGTATGTGATTAGTCCACTGATGATGCACATACGTATGCACTGACGTAAGCAGAATTGAATGTTGGTACACATGTAAACACCTCAACTATTACTGAATAAACTCTCATACTGGCCTGAAGGGTTAAATGAGCAACATTTTTATAAGCAGTAGATTAAAAAAAAGTTGCTCTGATTAAGAAAGGGTGAAAGGTATCATAGTTTTTGTCTTGTCTGTTTCCTCTGCAATCGGTCCAACTGCTGACTACTCCCTACATCTCCTGATTTCTGGATATCTTGTAGGCCCCACCGAGCTGCTATCATGAGGTGTTAAGACTTGGCCAGTATTTTCAGAGATATCCTTTTGCAATTCGGTCCTTTTGTAAAACTTATTTTACAAATATATCCTCCGTGAAACTTATTCCAGAAATAGAGGTTGGTGTTAGTGCGAGACCTGGGTTCCATTGAGGCAATAAGTTTCACCGAGGACCCTATTTTGTGAAATGAGTTCTGAAAAAGGACCATCTTGCAAACATTACTGGTATCCCTTCTCTCCATCTCTTTGCTCACACCTATTATCCAAACAGTAGAGACTACTCATCAAAGTCAACTTATTCCTATATACATCATCCCCAATTTTCTCTTCATTCATAATTCATCTCCACATTCTTCATTCTCCATTAATTTCACGGTTTCATCTCGACATCTCATCATCTGTTTTAAGTTGCTAGCTGAGGAGGAGGAGCAGGTGCCAGCAATGGCGTCGTCAAAGCCAATCCTGTACGGTGCCTGGATCAGCTCCTGCTCTCACCGAATCCGGATCGTTCTCAATCTCAAAGGTAAGCAATTCTTGAGCAATTGGAGCGAGCTTGCTTGATTCTTTAGCCTCACTGAGCTTCAACAAATTAGTTGTGGTTTAGTCAACACTCTTACTGATTTAGCTAAGAGGGTCAGGGAAGATGTGGCCTCTTCATGATGTAAACACTCTTAAGTTTTGCAACAGTCAGGTCTAGAGTTATCTATTTGCTGGGCCAATACTGAGAACTCCATCTGTTAGAGGTGGCTCAGGAACAGTTGTGTAAAAGTAACTCTAAAGAAGAAAGGAAAGATCAGATATGCACTTGATTAATTGATTTCCTTTAGTTTGATGCTCCTGACAGTCTGGCTCTGCAAAATTTTTGTCAATAGAACCTGATGATATGCTGATTTGTCAATTGACAACTAACAGATTCACAGTTAAAATTTGATTACAATTGATGAGCCACAAACTTGGAGCATACTTTTCTATCAGATGATATGCATTGTAAGTTCTTATAGTTGGATAAGCTAAAAATAAAATAAATCATTTTTCTCTGTGCTGAAGGTGTGGATTATGAGTACAAGTCAGTCAATCCTCGAACAGATCCAGGTAACCAAATAGTCACACACATTTCATGTTTTACACTATGCACTTCATTTCTGCTTTTGGAATTGATGATATACAAGGAAGGGTGACCATGGTCTGAGTTAATCCAATGGATGAAAATATGATGCCATTAGAACTAGATGTGATTGAGGATGAGGATGCTTATTACCTCAGTATTCAATAGGATTCTCTTGTCACTTAGAATTCCTTGCTGACTGCATACAGACAATTAATTTCCTTGACATTGGAATTGCAGTATGCTTGATAAATTCAGTGTGTTCTCTTTGATAATGAACGATAAAATGCTTTCTCCGTCATTGCTTCATCATAGTATCTTTAATGTTCACAAGTTACTATTGCATTATCTAACAATTACATATTATTGTGATTTCCATTTGTAGACTATGAGAAAATCAATCCAATTAAGTACATACCAGCATTAGTAGATGGAGACCTAGTTGTTTCTGACTCTCTCGCCATTGCATTGGTGAGTATAGCTAGCACTTCAGTTTTTATTTTTCTCTCATGGATTTATTTCTCCAATATGCAAATGTATATGTTAGTCATTAACAAACTTTATTGTTTTTATAAAAAAACAGTATCTTGAAGATAAATACCCTCAACATGCTCTCCTACCTAAGGATCTCAAAAAGAAAGCTCTTAATCTTCAGGTATATGTCATATGCCAAAGTTTCTGTATCTTGTGCTACTACTGAATTATTTGTCCATATTTCTCCTGTCCTATGGCACAAAAACGGTTTGCTGAACTGAATAAAAAGGTCTTTGAACTTTCAGTGTTTTGTTTGCACATATACTGTCCATAAGTTGTATATTTTCATGTGAATATGCAAAAAATAATTGACATCGAGCACACTTTTATCTGCTCCCCATTTGAATATGTGTATTCCTTCCTTGTTACAGATTGCAAACATAGTTTGTTCAAGCATCCAACCTCTCCAAGGTTATGCTGTAATTGTAAGTTTTTTGGCTTTTTGCCAACAGCTAGTTACCACTGCGGAGTTTTTGTCGTTGCAACTAATTTCTGTATTAGTGCAATGGTGTTTGTGGAATATTAATTTATGGGACCAATTTACAGGGTTTGCATGAGGGTAAGCTAAGCCCCGATGAGAGTCTTCAGATAGTTCAGCATTATATTGATAAGGGCTTCAAAGGTTTGTATTTTCCATCTGGTTTGGAAATATAATATCTTCTTCTACCTTCAGTGCTAAAATAAATACGAGACATATTTCTTTGTTCTATATTGCATTTACATTTCTGGATATCCTTGTCAAAAGTGTTGTGGAAGTGTGTGAATTTATAAGACATGCATGTTGTTGTTGTAGTATCTTCTGCATTGTTGGAAAATGAATGTAAATCAGTTGACAACGTCCATTACTTTAAATTTACAAGAGATCAGTAACTATTTGAATTTGTCCTTTTTAGTGATACTTACAGTTCCATCTTGGCTTGCCCTTATTCTTTGTTTCAGCAATCGAAAAGCTTTTAGAAGGATCCAACTTTAAATATGCTACTGGGGACGAAGTTCAATTGGTTTGTATTCCTAACCAATGCTTCTTTATTGATACATCTCTTCCCTTTATCGATCACTCTGAAATGAGATTCAATCATTTTAGGAAAAAAAAACTTCAAAAGGTCATGTTTTTGGAAAAAAAAAAGCTTGCAATCTGCATATCAGAAAACCATATATACAGTTTTGTCCAACAAAATTTTATACTTCATTTGGCTTACACCTTCCTTAATCAACCTAGTGAATATGACATCTCATTAATATTTATGCTTATTAGTATTTGAAGATAGGGTTAATATTCATGTTTCTTCTGCAATGAATTTTTAATTAATATGATCTTCTATGTTTTGCATACAGGGGGATGTGTTTCTAGCACCACAGATCCATGCTGGCATAAATCGCTTCCAAATTGATATCGTACGCAACTTTCCTCTGCTATTGGCTCTACATATAACGAGCGTTCCCATCCTAATTGATTCAGAAATATCAGCAATGAAATTTTGTTTTCTTGCAGACAAAGTACCCAAATTTGGCAAGACTCCATGACACATACATGGAAATTCCTGCATTTCAGGCAGCACTTCCAAAGAATCAGCCAGATGCACCTTCATGCTAAAATCAAGATTGCAAACAAGCTGCCATATCCAAAGGTGCAAGACCTGCTTGCCCTTGTATAAGAGGGTCAGTGTTTGAGAATGTGGCTCTCCACCAACCATGTCATATTGTCATTTTGCATGAATGTCTAAGTTTGTTAGTTCTAAAAACAGCAGAAATGTGTTAACAGATGTTTTGAATGTATGTAACTGGGGTTCCACAAATCAAATATAAGCAGCTCAACTCAAGTGCTCAGTCACACTTTGGTAATAAATACGGAATTTGTCATCAAATGAATGAGTACATGTCTACATCTAATCAGCATTGCAGGTAGACTATGGTTTGCGGTTTTCAGGCCACAAATTAAAAGATTTAAAAACCACAATTTATTCTTTAAATTATAAATTTCCCTATACAACTAATGTTTTAATTGCTATAAATAGTTTCAGATAGAAGTAGGACATCCATAATTAGAGTCCCCTAAATATAATTTTCTAATTGAAAGTTCAAACCCTGATTGGATCATTTGTTCAGATTATGTAACAAATCCAAAAAAAAAACAAATATAAATTCATCTGAATGCAATGTATAATTTGATTTAAAATATTGCACTCCTAACCAACATAAATAACAAAAAAAACAAAAAGATTGCAAGGATTGATAATAAATATTCAAAATAATAGTATTTTATAAGGAAGCATTGATGGTGTGTTGGTGGTGAAGTCATGGGTGCATGACTCGACTCACTCATCAGGGTTCAAAACCTAGCACCTACAAATATTATGCATACGTTAGTGAGCTTTCAATAGGAATTTAGTGAGATAAGAGATATGTCGCTGGTTTCCATATCTTTGAGTGCATGGGAGGGGGTGTATTTGCGGGTGTGCAAGTGGTGTTTGTGTGTGTGTCTACCGGATAATCACAAAAAAATGCTATTACGTTTTGGACATCTTGTAGAAAATTTCTGTTATATGATGATTTTGCAAATGGATCCTCAGCGAAAATTATTTTAGAAATAGACCAATGTTGTTAAGTAAGTTTTGCAAAAGGACCATATGGCAATGGCAAAAAGTACAGGTATCTTCTGCTGTCGGCTTGTCTCTTTTGCTGACAACCACTTGTCGAAGGGCAGAGGCTTCAAACGGCATATTCATAATATCCAAATACAGCATCCTCAAATTTCTGTTTTTTCTTCTTCTCCTCATTCTTCACTCTCAAATTTCACCTGCACCTTCTACAATATCTCATCATCTGTTACAAGTGATCAGAAGGAGCAATGGCATCGTTGAAGCCAATCAATATTGCCCTTTAAGCAGTCTAAACATTTCCAGAGATTTACAGAACATAGGAAAGTTAGAAGAATATCGATAACAAATGTCCAAAACATCATTCGACAAATTCCTTGACAGATCCTACTGGATTACATTTCTTTTCTTTGAGAAAGGGAAGCAAGAAAGGATCATACTTTGTTTATACATAGTTATATTCTAGGATTCAACTAGATAATGACCTCCACATACTTTAATCAATCCACCGCAGTCACACATGACCTGTTGTAGAACTCCAAAATCAACTATTGGAGCGATTTGTCGCAACTGACATGGTGGGCATGACAGATCTTGTTGAATTCCATTTCAGCACAATATACTACCATTAATATATTATGTTTGCAATCACCATGCTGATGTTGGAATCAGGTTGAATTTCAATGAGCTATATTGAAGAAATTTGAACTGGAAAAATGCCAAATCGAAGATAGACAGTTAATATCGTACTAATCACTATTATAAATGTGATACGAAATTGGTTGGATGGTTTTATCAGATACGATTCAGTCGAAATATAAGTTCATGCATCCACAAGTACAAGTGCTTCTGAAAACTTAGCTATTGCTTTCTTTTATTTCCTTCTCTTCTCCCCACTTGCAACTGCTAACACACATGCCAATCCTTATGATTGAATGCATAGACCCATTCAATTAAGGTCGTGCCAACTTGTTTTCAACTATAAATTGCACAAGTATAAATGCTTGACAATTGCTTATAGCTACTAATTAAGAACTAGGACCATTAGGAGGGATATTTCTTGCAATTGTCTGTAGCTTGAGCTCATGTTGGCGATAAACAACTGAAAAAATGGTCTCACAAAAGAATAAAAGAAAAACAATTAGATATTTAGATGTGGAGCAATTACACATCATCCATATTTTTTCCCTCAATTTTATACTACTCACCGTACTTCCTTGTACCTGCAATTCAGTCCCTTCTTGTTTGGGTCAAAGACTCGCATGCACATGCTCTTCAACCTTTTCTCATTCAGAAACTATCTTATCAGCTTAAGTGATTGCGATGTGTTACCAAAACCATTTAACTCGAATGGATAAAATTTATGTGATACCAACATCATCAAATTTAATGTATAACAGTTTAGAAATTTATCATGTCGTTTTCCGGAAACAAATTGCAGACCGTTGACTCCATCTGGGTCTTCTCCCCCATTTCTTGTACAGTTTTTCTACACCCAGTTGCACGCAGGTTACTTATTGGATCAATCATGCATATCAATGTGTTGACCCGTTCTTGATGCATATACAATTGTGTGTCATCTCCTACCTTACATTAACAACTAATCTAGCCTGTTGCAGTTCAATCAGAGCTTCTGACCTTGCAAAAGGATGAGCTGCTAAAAGCATTTCAGTGGCAGCTCAAGAGAGAGAAGAGAGAGAAATAGAAACTGCCCAAACATGGGGGTTTCTCCATGGATTATCATCTTCTTGTTGATTGTTCTTGTGCAAGCTTTTGTCGCTTCGGCCGATACGAACGCACAGGACAGTAAGTATAGTTTCAGTTCTTCAAAAGTATATGTTACTACAGTGCTAATTTTGCTCAGTTTGCTGTTCATCTTGTCTATGCCTGCAGCTTCTGGACTTAACGGGCTTGCAGGTAGCTGGGGCAGCGCACCATCGAATTGGGCTGGCAACGATCCATGTGGAGACAAATGGATTGGGATAATTTGCACCGGGAACCGGGTCACATCCATGTTGGTATCAGAACCAGAAATTTGTATATGCCCATGGATATCACTTCTCATTGTGTTCTTCCTTCTTTGATGGTGTTTTACAGAAGACTGTCAAGTTTCGGACTGTCCGGGACGCTTTCCGGGGACATTCAGTCCTTATCAGAATTGCAGTACCTGTATGTATCTTCTTCTCTCTGTAGTTTGAGCACTTTAGATTGCAAATCAGGCGTAAACATGTACAATAGTTGGAAATTTGGAAATTTATGCAAACTTCTGAAACGATTCTTTTCTTGTTGCAGGGACTTATCCTACAACAAGAACTTGAATGGCCCCCTTCCTTCAACCATTGGAACCTTGAGCAAGCTCCAAAACTTGTGAGACTAGTTAAACTTTGGAGAATTTCAGTGCATGGATTCTTGTTTGACTTGTGTCCTCTCTCATTTCTCTGCAGAATTCTTGTCGGCTGCGGCTTTACAGGTGAAATACCAAAGGAGATAGGCCAGCTCTCAAACCTGATATTTCTGTAAGAAACAGTTCAGACCTGATTGCTGATTCTTCACTATGTCCAAAATCTAAGGCCTACTATCTCATTTGCATGTCCTAAACTTTATCTTCTTGAACACAAGATGTTTTCCCTAAGTTTTGGATTGACCTTCCAACTGTCAAATACTATGGTTGGGTTTTTAGACTTTTGCAATTTATGTTATACTCACTCCTAATCGAGTGGTGTCCTTCCATTTACCAATAGCTGAATTGGTCAGCGTTTTGTCATGCATGCTTATAATCTTGTAGTAAGAATTTAAGAACTTGGTCTGAACATTCAGAAAGAGAAGGGCGATGCAGTTAAACCTATTTCTTTTGGGACAATTCAAGTATATTTGTTATGGAGAATGAACAAAAAAAATGTTATCTTGTTTCATTACTAGATAATATTGAATTCTCAGGTCTGGTGTCCATTTCAATAACACAAAGGATTAATGGCTCAAGGTTTTTAAAATATTGCAAACATGGTCTAGTTATGCACTTGATATGTTTGCAGAAATTCCTTAATGAAATCTGCATCATTTATATGTTACTTCGCAACTTAACCAGTAGCAACTTTAATCTTTGTTCTATTTTTTTTTCTCAAACACACAGGAGATCTACGCATCATTATATTGTTCTGTGTTATTATTGTATAAGCCTTTGACATTGTAATTGCTTCTCGTAATATTTCTACACATAATTTCAGTATAATAATCCTGATAAAAAGGATTGCTAATTGTATTCCATTCCTGCAGATCATTGAACTCCAACAAGTTCACTGGTAGCATACCGCCATCGCTTGGCGGCCTCTCAAAGCTATATTGGTTTGATCTGGCTGACAATCAGCTCACTGGAGGACTTCCAATATCCAATGCGACAAGTCCTGGTCTGGACAATCTCACAAGTACTAAGCACTTGTAAGTACATTACTATTTTTTTTATTGATGTCATAAGATTTTTGATCTTCTGGTCTGTTTTCTGATGAATATGTATACACATTTTGTCGCAGCCATTTTGGGATAAACCAGCTCTCTGGCAGCATACCTAGCCAGATTTTCAACTCAAATATGAAGCTGATACATCTGTATGACTAACCAAATTATTCATCCTCACAATTGTGTAAATTATTGTTGTGAAGCTCAGATCTGAGGCTGATCTCTTACATCTGTAATTATCCAGGCTTCTTGACAACAACAAATTCTCCGGTAGCATCCCTTCTACCTTAGGCCTTCTTAATACACTGGAAGTTCTGTAAGTACAAGCACATATTATGGATGACAATAAAATTCAGAGGTTGACACTGCTGCCTTTTGCCATGAAATTTGTTCGTCACAGGCGTTTCGATAACAATGCGCAGTTGACCGGACCGGTTCCTACCAACCTCAAGAACCTAACCAAGCTTGCAGAATTGTGAGTTTATTATGTTTGTCTGCTTTTGTTTAGTATCATTGTATCAATTCTAAAACATTAGTAGCTCACTCTCTTTTTTCTTTTCATTTGAAAATAGCCATCTAGCAAACAGCAATCTTACTGGTCCATTGCCAGACCTAACTGGAATGAGCTCACTCAGCTTTGTGTAAGTGATGAGTCAAACCTTCCAATGTGAAAAACAAGATTTGACCTGCAATTATAATACTATGCAAATTTCTGGACTGTTTCCTCTTCTGACCTGAAACATTGTTACAGGGACATGAGCAACAACAGCTTCAGTGCATCTGATGCGCCCTCCTGGATAACCACTTTGCCATCGTCATTGACTTCACTGTAATTCTCTCTTCTCTACTTTCTTGTGCTAAGTCATCATCAACAATTTATATAATTCTATCTTCTCTGATATCTCGTGCTACTTCATCAAGGATTTTCGTCTGATTTTCACTGTCTCCAGGTACCTAGAAAATCTGCGCATCAGTGGGGAGGTACCGCAAAGTCTCTTTAGTCTCCCTTCAATTCAAACACTGTGAGTAGTCATTGCTTGCTAGTTTAAAACATAATGCTAGTGTCAACTTTGAGCTAAACTGATAGATATAAATAGTATAGTTCAAATTCAGTTCTGTGATTACTTCAAGACAAATGCAGGAGGCTTCGGGGCAACCGTCTGAATGGCACCCTAAATATAGCAGACTTCAGCAGTCAGCTCCAACTAGTCGATTTGCGGGACAACTTTATCACAGCACTAACTGTAGGAACACAATACAAGAAGACTCTCATGTAAGAATACTCTCACTGTTTTTGCTTATTGGCTGATCAGCCATAGCCAAAATTTGAATTTTAAACATTAACTTTAGAGTTGATTTTGAGGTTTTCTCAACGTAGTTTATTTTCTAGCATTGGCTTTTAATTCGCTAAGAATGCAGATATAATAGTCTGATCCATGAATTATTTTTAGTTGCTTCGTTCATTTTTCCACGGCTTATATCAGCCACAGTTACTTTTATCACAATCTTCAGAGCTCTGGCTGATTCACCTCTGTTCACAGGCTCTCAGGAAATCCATATTGCAACCAAGTGAACGACGACGTGCACTGCAAAGCCACCGGACAATCGAACCCGGCATTGCCACCATACAAGACTACCTCCAACTGCCCTGCCCTGCCTCCCACATGCCTCTCAACCCAGCAGCTGAGCCCAACCTGCATTTGCTCTGTGCCATACAGAGGCACACTCTTCTTCAGATCACCAGGTTTTTCAGACCTGGGCAACAGCTCATACTTCATTCAGCTGGAGGGGACAATGAAAGCCAAGTTCTTGAACCTCAGTCTCCCGGTCGATTCAATTGCGATCCACGACCCGTTTGTCGACACCAACAACAACTTGGAGATGAGCTTGGAGGTGTACCCCAGTGGCAAGGATCAGTTTAGTGAGCAAGACATTTCTGGCATTGGTTTCATCCTGAGTAACCAGACATATAAGCCTCCTTCTAACTTTGGCCCATACTATTTCCTTGGACAGACCTACTCCTTTGCTAATGGTAAGACCATACTCCCTCTGGTTTTTAATAGATGGAATCGTTAACTTTTTGACATATGTTTGACTATTCATCTTATTAAAAAAAATTGTGCAAATATCCGAAAATGTAAGTCATGTTTTAAAGTAATTTTAGTGATAAATCCAAGCCACAATCAAATAAATAGTAATTTCTTTGAATAAGACGACTGGTCAAATACGTATCAAAAAGTCAATGGCGTCAAATAGTAATTATGTAATTTCTTTGACACACATTTGACCATTCATACTTTAGATGACATCTCCTGCTGTGGTTACAGAGACTCAACAAATGCTCATTTTTTAGATAATGGAAGCTTTTATTGAACTCAGTCAACAAATGCTCATGTGTGTGTTGAATCATTGTTTCATGAATTCAGGGGCGTTGCAAACTTCAAAATCGAACACAAACCACATCCCGCTTATCGTCGGTGCTTCGGTTGGAGGTGCAGCTGTAATTGCAGCATTGCTTGCACTCACAATCTGCATTGCTAGAAGGAAGAGAAGTCCAAAGCAGACTGAAGATAGGAGCCAGTCTTATGGTAAGCACTGTTCATCATCTAATTCAGTATAACAACATCTCATTGTTGCATACTTTCTTCTGAATGTGGCATCACAACTGCAATCATCTGCAGTTTCCTGGGACATCAAGAGCACCAGCACTAGCACTGCCCCGCAGGTGCGAGGTGCGAGGATGTTCTCCTTCGACGAGCTGAAGAAGGTCACCAACAACTTCTCGGAGGCCAATGACATCGGCACCGGAGGCTACGGGAAGGTGAAGAAGCCATTGCTGATCACTTCTGATACATTCTGTCCTCCTTTGACATGTTCAGAACTTGAAATGTTCAGAACTTGAAATATTCAGAGCTGTTGATCACTGCAGGTTTACAGGGGAACACTTCCTACTGGTCAGCTGGTTGCCGTGAAGAGATCCCAGCAAGGCTCCCTGCAGGGCAACCTCGAGTTCAGGACTGAGATCGAGCTCCTGTCCAGGGTTCATCACAAGAATGTCGTCAGCCTAGTCGGATTCTGCTTCGACCAGGGCGAGCAGATGCTTGTCTACGAGTATGTCCCCAATGGCACCCTCAAGGAGAGCCTCACAGGTAAAACTACTACTTATTGTTATTAATTCTTAAAGATGAATGCGAAAATGTCGACAGATTTTATAGTGGTCTAGCTCTGATACTGATAGTCTCCATGGTTTGAAATTTCGAACCCTACCGGCAAGCACAAATCTCCACCTACATTTTCGGATTTTTTCAAATATTTGGGAATTTGGTCAATTTGTTTAAATTCAATCGAAATATGTTAAAATTTGAAATAATTTTGGTAAAAAACACCGAAATTCATGATGTTTTTTTTCAAAATTCCGACAACCATCGAAATTTCGGAAATTTCAGTGGTTATTGAAAGTGCAAACACTGATTGTCTCTCATGGTGGTGCCATCGAAAACTTTGTTCAGGGAAATCTGGTGTGAGGCTGGACTGGAAGCGGCGGCTCCGGGTTGTCCTCGGTGCGGCGAAGGGTATCGCCTACCTGCATGAGCTCGCTGACCCTCCGATCATCCACCGTGACATCAAGTCGAGCAATGTTCTCCTCGATGAGCGGCTCAACGCCAAGGTCTCCGACTTCGGCCTGTCCAAGCTTCTCGGCGAAGACGGTCGTGGCCAGATCACCACCCAAGTCAAGGGCACAATGGTAAGTAGTACTACCTCCATCCCAAAATGTTTAAAGCCGTTGACCTTTTTAAAAATGTTTGACCGTTCGTCTTATTCAAAAAATTTAAGTAATTGTTAATTCTTTTTCTATCATTTGATTTATTGTTAAATATACTTTAATGTATACATATAGTTTTACACATATCACAAAAGTTTTTGAATAAAACGAACGGTCAAACATGTTTAAAAAAGTCAACGGTGTCAAACATTTAAGGAAGATACTCCCTCCGTCCCTAAATGTTTGACGCCGTTGACATTTTTAAACATGTTTGACCATTCGTCTTATTCAAAAAATTTATGTAATTATTAATTATTTTCCTATCATTTGTTTCATTGTTAAATATATTTTATGTATATATATAGTTTTACATATTTCACAAAAAAATTTAAATAAGACGAACGGTCAAACATGTATAAAAAAGTCAACAGCGTCAAACATTTAAGGATGGAGGGAGTATTTCATAACGACCAACCAATCCACCTAAAAGATTAAACTATTCATCTCCAATAGTTTTACTTAAAAGCTTAAAACTTTTTTTCTCCAACCATCAAGTTGACCCAAAAGCTTGAATTATTCGGTCTCCGAACAATGAATTGACCTAAAAGCTTAAGTAATTTTTATATAATGATTTAATGGTTCTTGAGAGGTACAACGATAGTTTAAAATTTAGTCTCTCTTTGGACTTCTCGAAGCATAAAAAAAAGGTTTTTGCCTTCAACCATTGAGTCAACACAAAAACTTTAATTGTTGGCTGCGTGCATCCACTTGGATGTAGAGGCCGGCTTAATCCATTTTCTAAAAAAACTAAATTGTATTATGTCCGACCAACCAGTTCAGCCAAAAGCTTAAACTATCTTTTTTTTTTTTTTTCTATCGGTGTGACACGTGTGGATGTGACGTGGCAGGGGTACCTGGACCCGGAGTACTACATGACGCAGCAGCTGACGGACCGGAGCGACGTGTACAGCTTCGGCGTGCTGCTGCTGGAGGTGATCACGGCGAGGAAGCCGCTGGAGCGCGGCCGCTACGTGGTCCGGGAGGTCAAGGAGGCGGTGGACCGCCGCAAGGACATGTACGGCCTCCACGAGCTCCTCGACCCCGCGCTGGGGGCCTCCTCGGCGCTCGCCGGCCTCGAGCCGTACGTCGACCTGGCCCTCCGCTGCGTCGAGGAGTCCGGCGCCGACCGCCCCTCCATGGGCGAGGCCGTCGCCGAGATCGAGCGGATCGCCAAGGTGGCCGGCGCTGGGGGTGCGGCCGCCGCCGAGTCGGCGGCGTCGGACTCCATGAGCTACGCCGCTAGCCGGACGCCGCGCCACCCCTATGGCGGCGGCGGCGGCGACAGCGCGTCGGAGTATAGCGGCGGCGGGCTGCCGTCGATGAGGGTGGAGCCCAAGTGAAGATGGTGGATTTGTTTCCAACGTTTTGTGTACAGCTTGATGATTTAGAGTATGTACGATTTCATTTGTGTAAATTTTGGTCGTCTATGCATGCTAAGTTTGGATTTTTGAATTTGAATGTTTGATGATGGCTAATTGAGAATTTGGGGTCGTTGTCAATCGAACTATACCCAAAAAAAAAAAACCAGTTTTCTTTTCAGCTTGTGTTTCATGTGTATTAGTACTCATTTGGATAAGTGCATCTCTGTATTATGCTAACAATCTATTGAAGTAACCGAGAAGAAAAAGGATAGGGTATTTTGCTGAAATGTTTCGCAGTTAAAGATGTAGTACAATCTCCATCTGCCTAGTGTTATTTTACATGTTTTAATTATATTAAACACCTTACATTCATTACCTTGCTTGCCTTAATTACATATGCAAGTGTAAAAAAAAAAGTATTTGTTCCATGCCAATGTGCTTTCATAAATTTAACATTGATGGTTGGCACATATTCTGGTTTACTACCAATTGTTCTCACTAGAAACTTTCAGTTAGTTTTTGTATATAGATGAAAAAATAATTCCCGCGCATTTTTCCACAAACAGCATTCCACAATTTGTACCTGGTCTTGGTGCCACAGCAAATTTGCTGTGATCAAATTCATGGTGATTGGGGAAATTATATCATCTGATGCACTTTGTCAGCTGGCACCAGCCATGTTACCGTGATCACAGGTTGGAAGACTAGTAGTAGTGATATGTACTGTTCTGTAGTTCTGTACAAAATGAATTGGGGACCAATGCACAATAGTCGGTGCTGCTTGCTGACCTGTCCACTGTGAGAAAAAAATGTAGAACATGTGAACCTCCATTGGTGATTTCTGGAGCATAATTCTGAAGATTTGAGGCCAATGCCTGATAAATCTCTGGTTACTGTTTTTCCTGTGAATGTGAAAAACTGTACAATCTGTGAACTATAATTGACGGTGAATTATAATTCTGCAGGGTAGGGGCCTACTCCTATGCCTGTTAATATCTGCTGCGTGTTGACCATCTGTAAAATCTGTGAACTTCCATTGATGATTTCTGAATTGTAATTCTGCACAGTTGCAGTGCTGTCAATGCTCAGTGGGGTTACCATATTTAATTAGCATTTCTGATGTTCAAGATATCATCAGCTTGGACTTGGTCGCAGAAACATTTAGCCAAGGCATTTTCCTATGGCTAGATCTCATATATTTTATGATGTTTCAGTCATGTATCGAGAATCGACCGTCTAGATTGAGCTCAGCAAAGAACATTTGTGACTTAAAATTTTGTAAATGTTCATTGCAGCAAAACAGGGATGGAAATTTCGTCCCCTCCGGCAAGCAAATATTTCGAGTGAAAATTTCCCTTTTTTCAAATAATTATGAATTTGGTCATAATTTATTCAAATTCAGTAAAAATGTGTTAAAATTTCAAAAAAAAATCGTTCGGAATATCCGAAATTTCAGACCCCACCGAAATCTTCTTGCTTTCCGAAATTTTCAACGCTAACTCTTAAAAAATATATATCTGAGATAGGCCTATCTGAAGTTGCAACATTTAAGTCATTAGCAGTAAGACTTTGGCTGACACTGCAAGCACTTAGTGATCATTCTTTCAAAAGAGAAAACGAAAATCTGCACCAAAGCAATAGATTGCTTGCAAGAAAACAACACTCTCCGTTCCATGCTTCCGGCTACCATTTGTCACCTCCAACGTGTGAAATAATTGGCATTTTGGCGTAAGTGCTTGCCAATGGAGCAATGCAACCTGATGGAACACCGACACTTTGATCATCATTTAAGGTTGTCTCCCCCTCATGTCTAGGTTAATTTCACTCTACAAGTGAAGTGAAATTGAAGGGAAATTTTCAGTTTAATGAAATATCTCTTAATTCACCAGAAAAATAAAAAAATGGCTAATTTAACTTTTTTGTCAAAAAAAAACCTGTCACTTCAGCTTAATGTGGATTAATATCTCTTTCCCGCAAAAAAAAAGTTTATTTTTAGTCTTTTCCGTTTGCTCTAAAATAAGTTTATTTTTAAGTAATTATTGCATCAAAGTTTGTGGAAATAAAAGATAAATACATTGTGAGTAGATAAAGAAAGAAAAAATTGCATTGTAATTTAATAAAATTAGGGTATTTTAGTCTTTTTTGTTCTGTATTGGTACGTGTAGTATGGGTGAAAAATAAACTTACTTTGTGGCAGAGGTAGTATAGGGCACTTAGGACCCAGCACTTAGGACCCATTTGGTAGAGCTCCAACTCCTACATTTAACTCCAGGAGTTAGGTCTGAAGTGGAGTTTTGGAGCAGCTTAAACCTAATTCATTTTGTGAGAGTGCTTCCGCTAGCTCTACTCCTATTTTAGGTGGATCTAAAACTGTTTGGCTGAACTCTAGCTCCAGAAGAGGTGGAGTTAAAGTTGAAGCCGTGCCAAATAGGCCCTCAATTGCTCACAATTTTGAAAGTAAAGTTGAATCCAATCAAACGCAAACGCTGGTCATCTAGCCTCCATAAACAACTCAAAATTCTCTCCTTTTCTCGTGCACTTATTTATGTGCCACACAAAGTCACAAACAAAAACTAAAACACATAAAAAATAGTCAAAGAAAAATAAAATTGCCTGTACATATTCTCATTGCCTACTTACAAGTAGGAAGAGGCCATGGTCCTCATGTCAGTGGGCATGAAGGCCAGCACCACCAGGAGCGCCAGCAAGCACACCGGCAGCAGCAGCAGCAGCGTCGGCGGCGGCGGCAGCGGCGGCAGGATGAGCGGCAGCACCAGCAGCGACACGGTGACGCATGCCAGCACCAGGATGGCCTCCGTGCTGAAGTAGCACCTGCTGCCGCCGTCGCCGCCGCCGCCGTTGGTCGCATTGTTCATCAGCCGCCGCCGCTGCTGCTGCTTCTGCTGTTGTTCTTGTTCCCTTGTGGTGTGATGCTGATGATGCCTTCCACCTCTCTGCATTTGCTGCTCTCTGAACATCTGTTCCTCCATTGTGATCATCAGGTGTTCAAGAAGCATGAAATGTGTTGTCCGGACAGTTTGTTGTTGGGAGATTTTCTGTGATGGATTTCTGAAGATGATGTATCTTCTGATGAGGAGTAATTTCTTGGCTCTCACCAGTCTGATTTGGAAGTTTTCTTGCAAGGAATATATCTGTGACAAAAAAAGTTGATGAATTTCAGAGAGATTTGTAGAATGGCCGGCTATAACATACAGACATATTTGATTATTGAGGCCTTTTGCTAAGAATTTCAAGAAAGGTCAGGTTGACATAAACAACAGATTAATCAATCTCTGAAAATGGCATGCAAGATGAAAAAGAGGGAGCAAGACAGCTGCTGCAGTGAAGATTTTGGATGAAACAGATCAAAAACTCAAAGGAACCAAAGATTAATGGACACAAGGAGAAAATAGAAATGGTACCTCTGATCTTGAACTTGGTATTGCTGGATTTCTGGACAGATTTCCCCCTTTCTTGATTTCACCCAGGGGAGATCTTGGAACTAATTCCACTCAGGAGGATCAAGAACACAAACTGAAAATGGCAACCAAGAACTTCCAAAATGCAGGAGGATATCAAAGGGGAACTAGGAAAAATTTGACCAGGAAGAAGAGAAGAAAAGGATTGGAGCAAATGGAGTTGTGCAAGAACAGAACTTGTGAAGCTGATGAAGCAGGTAGATAGTGGTTTTGTGCAAACAAGCTTGGAACCTGGCCCCCTTTTTGGTGATGTGTGGGGGAAAATGTGATGTGAAGGAGATGAGCATGATGGGAAGGCAGCCATTTTATCTGTGGACTGAAGATGGTGGTTTTCAAATCTTGGAAGCCTAGGTATGGAGGGAGGATAGGTGCATTGCATCAAAGGACCAAGTGTCCAAGTGGGAGAGGGGTGGGCCACAGTCTTTGCTCTTGTAAGGTACATGGAAAAGTATTTTAGTTGGTTAGCATGTGTCCATCCAATTAATGTCCAAAAACATTTATTGGCTATTATGTGAGAATCGAATTTCTTAAGTCGTCCGATAAAAGTCATCAGATGTACAGTGAAAAAAGTTTGGTCGTTGGGAGAGAGCAATTCGATTAAAATGTGATTTGTTGTAAAACATGTATAAAGTGGAGAATAGAATTTGTGTTGTGGTAGGATAATGATTTACAAGAGAAATAAGAAACTTTGTCACCGTCCAAAATATCGGAACTTAGGATGCGATCAGTGCGAAAATTCTCTTGAGTTTCGGGTCAAACCCGTTTGGTAAAATCCTAGAGACAAACTAAGAATAAAATCGCACCAATTTCGCGTACTCGCAATGGAATTCAACCAGCTAGAACTGAACTTTCCTTTTCTACCACTCTGATGAGTGCAACAAAGCTAGTGAAGAGAGATATTATTTTTCCAAAGCACTTTTGGAAAGGGGAGGCAACTAGGCAGGGTTGCCTTGGTAGCTGCTGGAGGTTCCTCTCCCCTTGCTGCACTTTTGTTCGTCTGTCGATTTATTCAGTTGGTCTCACAACCTCCCCCCTGCCCCTTTCCTATCATGACAATCCTTCCCAATTGCACTACACACCAAGCCTGCACCATCAGTTTTGCATGCCAAGTTGTTTTTATCCCTTCTAAAGTATCAAACCATCCTAATCATTCATGGGGGATGGAATTGCTTAGCTGGTAAAAGATTCACTTATCACTGTCAAGACTGACTTACATATATATGTTTGACAAGAAAAACCTGTACTAAGTTAATTAATCTTCTAACTGAGTGTGTTGTGAAACAAAAAACAGTATATGTTTTGTCAGAAGGAATGGTACTACTAAGAGATTAGTCGTTAATTGGAATTTATGGACAATTGTGAGTTCATAATAATTCATTTATGTATGAAATTGAATAAATTAATATTTATTACTCCCTCCGTTTCACAATGTAAGTCATTCTAACATTTCCCACATTCATATTGATGTTAATGAATCTAGACATATATATCTATTTAGATTCATTAAAATCAATATGAATGTGAGAAATGTTAGAATAACTTACATTGTGAAACGGAGAAGTACTGTTGTAAGTAGTTATCATATATAAAATCAGAACTAGTAATATAAATTTTTCAGAGGAATAACTAGTTAGTCATCCTAACCTTTATATATGATGAGTTGATGACCTGTTAGGACATTATAATAGAGAGGCTGTATGCAAGAATTATCCATATCCTTTAATCCGTTTATAGTTTTGGACTATTACTTGGTACAGGTAATTTGAATGTGAGATTTATAAGATTATCAGGACATGTTAAGAAGGAAAGGAAAAGACTTTAATATCCCTCATTAAAGTGATCGTGCCATTGGACGAGATTAGGGGCTCAAGCTTGTGGTTAGATAAGAATATAATGTTGGATGGCTGGGTGGAGATGAAATACTACATAACACTTATATTTGTCTACAAATTTTAAACACCTATAATACTTACATACGTGGATGGAGGGAGTTGGATGGATGATTATGGTAAAATTTGCTATAGGAGACTAAAAATTCATATGATCTTTGCCGGAGGAGAGGATACCGCAAAAATGTAACTTTACATGGGATAAGGTGGAGCAAACCTTAAGACAAGGGAGGGAAAAATTGAGAGAGAGTAGCACAACAGCATTGTGCGAAGAGAGGAACAGAGTAGATGACGGTGGGAGCAATGCCGTGTTAAAGAAGGGATGACACGGATGGCATTTTGGTCATTTACCAAAGTTTATCTCTCTAAAATGATAAAATAATGTGTGATATCCAATGACAAAAACCAATATGTGAGCACTCACCAGATAACCCATGTTTAATTTGATAATTCAGAGGGGAGACTGGAAAAAGAAAATCAAGGAACCGTCCTTATAAATTATTTTAGTAAATAAAGTTTATATATGTATGTCCGAGCTAGAAAAAAAGCTTATTTATGTATATGCTGCTATTGGGTAGAAGGATCTGTCCTGATATAAGGAGAGTATTCTTCCTACTTTTTTCAAGGCACATATCAAGAATCCTAATGTTGTCCAAATTGGTTTAGGTGGTGTTTGGATCCAGGGACTTAACTTTAGTCCCTATATTTAGACACTAATTTAGAGTATTAAATATAGACTACTTATAAAACTAATTACATAAATGAAAGCTAATTTACGAGACAATTTTTTTAAGCCTAATTAATCCATAATTAGAGAATTTTTACTGTAGCATCGCATAGGCTAATCATGGATTAATTATGCTCAATAGATTCGTCTCGTGAATTAGTCTAAGATTATGAATGGGTTTTATTAATAGTCTACGTTTAATATTTATAATTTGTGTCCAAACATTCGATGTGATAGGGACTTAAAACAAGTTTTAGTTCCATCTAAATAGGGTCTTAGTACAACTAATCAATTATTGCCACTGTACTGTGATGATCCGTATGCAATTATCATGTAAAAGGGGTGGAAAAATAATTCATGGTCCAATCATTCTCCTAAATGAATACCATGAGTTTCTCGCATTGCGTAGAAGTGAAATGCTGACTGTCGACCTGTTAATTAAGTCCGTGCTCAGAAGCAATATAACCACCACATGGAAAACGTGCATATACAGATTCTTCCGTGGAAAGCATGCGTATATACCCATGCTTTGTTTTGAAATTTTTTTTGCACAAACAACCTCAATTGTCACTGTATGTTTTGAGATTTCATCCCATAACATATTTTATTACAAAAGGCTGCTCACCCAACGCACGCGAGTAACTAATTCTCACTGTGGACCGTATATTATTTATATCGGAATCACGCATGTGGCTGTGAGGTGAGTTCGACTCAAGCTTGTTCTCATACTGGCTTGAAGCATGAAGACAACTATGAACAATGAGAGTGGTGAGCACGGAGGCAATCAGTGACGGTGATCGGCAACGAATCTATATTAGAAGAAATGGGTTGAAACTCAAATCGACTACTCATACGCACGGAGGTTGTAATTTCAGTGCTAGGTGGATGGCCTTTTGCAATAAAATAAATTATGGGGTGAAATTTAAAAGTAGAGTGACAATTGGATAGTTTATGTAATTTTGCCTTTTATTTTTCCGGTTAAAATTCCGGGTTGGGTTGGCTTGCGTGCGCTGTGACGGCACGAAATTAACATGCACCCGTGATAGGGAGATATAGCCAGAATGTGAATCTTAAACAGCATTTACATGGAGAGTATTTAACCCCTACTAGTACAGATCCTTCTATCTGTGACGGGCTCTAATATGCTTAGAAATAGCGGGCCGTCATAATAAAGTCATCTCAATCGGGCCGAAAAGTGCCCGATTGAGATATGGTCGCACAGACATGTTAGATGGGCATAAAACTTAAACCCGTCACGGATGACACCTATCAGTGACGGGCCGTAGTTTAGGCCCGATTGAGATAACATTCCATATCTCAAACGGGCCTAAAGTTGCGGCCCGTCACAGATGACCATCATCTGTGACGGGCACCAACCTTAGGCCCGATTGAGATAATATTCCATATCTCAAATGGGCCTCAAGTTATGACACGTCACAGATGATGGCGGGCCTCAAGTTGTGGCACGTCACAGATGACCATCATCCGTGACGGGCCACAACTTGAGGCCCGTTTGAGATAACAACTAGGCCCGTCACAGATGACTCATCAGTGACGGGCTATATACTTAATCTCTATCGGGCATCAACTAAAGCCCGTCACCGATGACTATTTTTCCATTTTTCATATGAAATGTTTATATTTGTAAGTTGACTATAGCAAAATAATTAAGTGCAGTATAATAATTCATTTTATGAGTCAAAACAATTTTACGGGTAGTAAATGATTTCAGATGGAAAAAATGTCAACAACGAAGTTGTATAACTTATCAAGATTTACAACTTTTAGTTTGGTCATTTTTCTATATAACATTTGTTTGAATAGTTTGAATTTGAATTTGAAAATATGACAACTTCAAACAACATTTTCAAATACTAAATAATTTCAATTGAAAAAGTCATCAACAACAAAGTTGAATAACTCATCAAGATCTAAAACCAGATAAGAGATATGTCAATTTTGTAAACAATGTTACTATCACTTTGTCGTATGAAGAAATGACCAAAATAAAAGTTTTAGATCTTGATGAGTTATTCAACTTTGTTGTTGATGACTTTTTCAGTTGATATCATTTAGTATTTGAAAATGTTGTTTGAAGTTGTCATATTTTTAAATTTAAATTCAAACGGTTCAAAAAATATTATATAGAAAAATGACCAAAATAAAAGTTGTAGATCTTGATGAGTTATACAACTTTGTTGTTGATGACTTTTTCAGTTGAAGTCGTTCACTGATCTAAAATTCTATTTGAACTTTTCAAAATTTGAATTTCAAATTTCAAATTGTTTAAATAGAGTCAGATGGAGAAATGACCAAAATAAAAATTTTGCACCTTGATGAGTTCTACAACTTTGGTTTTGGTGACTTTTCCATTTGAAATCATTTAATAACCCCAATTTGATATCCTGGCCTAGGGCTTAATAAGATTAATAGAATACCCATAACAACAAGTTACAACTAATCTTCCGGAAGCCAATCTCCAACGAACTTTGATGTTAAGCGTGCTTGGTCTGAAATTGCAAGAGAAGTTTGAATTTCCCGCGTGGGTGCACACGAGTGAGGGCAGGGCTAGCCAAAAAAATAAAATTTATTTATTTTTGGATTATACTCATCTGTGACGGGCATTAACTATGGCTATAGTTAATGCCCATCACAGATGACTCATCTATGATGGGCTATAGTTGATGCCCGTCACAAATAAGGGTCATCTGTGACGGGCGCTAGTTGTGGC